ATTGCGCAATACTGTACAATTGACAATTTCTTGCTATTGCGCAATATTGTGCTATTGGATATTTCTTGCTATTGCGCAATACTGTGCAATTGAAGATTTCTTGCTATTGCGCATTATACTGTGCAATTGAAGATTTCTTGCTATTGTGCAATACTGTGCAATTGAAAATTTCTTGCTATTGCACAATACTTATATAAAAATTTACACATCCTGTTTGGTGTGTATCTCCTACCATATCATTATTATTTGCTTTTAAATATAAATCAGAAATAACCAACTTAAAATGGAAAATTTTAAAAGAAAAAAAAAAGGAAAAAAAGAAAGAAAAAAAAATCCCCCCCCCAAATTTTTTGAACCCCCTTATGATTCATCACCCCCAAACTCAATCCCAGCCTTCCCTTTGTGGTATGGTACCTTGCAGTACAATTTCAGAGAGATCCATACACTGGAACACAAGTTATTGTCTTGAAACTAGAAAAATGCTTATTTTTGGCCCCTTTTTGGCCCCCAATTCCTAAACGTTTCAGGCAATTACCCCCAAACTCAATTCCAGCTTTCCCTTTGTGATATGAAACCTTGTAGTACAATTTCAAAAATATCCAAACACTTACACACAAGTTATTGTCATGAAACTAGAAAAATGCTTGTTTTTTGCCCCTTTTTTGGCCCCTAATTCCTAAAATTTTGAGGCAATTACCCCCAAAATCAATTACAGCCTTCCCTTTGCGATATGGAACCTTGTGGTACAATGTCAGAGAGATCCATACACTTACACACAAGTTATTGTCTGAAAGTTACAAAAATGCTTATTTTTGGCCCCTTTTTGGCCCCTAATTCCTTAACTGTTGGTACCATATGGCAGATTCCATATAAGAAATTGAAATGTCTGTCAAAATGAATAAATAAATAAAAATAATTATTACTGTTATTTTAAAGATAATCTGTGAATGTTTTGAGGAATAATGATGTTAGAAGAAATTATAAAAATAATTTTTGGATATGATTAATTCCGTTTAAAGTAGAAATGATTAAAACAAGTTGAAAAAATGCAAAAATTTTGACAGAATTAACTCCCATTTTTTTACACAATGTTTATGTGTTGCAATGCTTTATGTTGACACTTGTATACTGGTATTTACTAGTGTAGTCTGGTTATTCAAACATCCCTGTTCCCAAATTTGTTACGTTTTTTAGTCAAAAACATCTGTGATATATATTTTTTTTCACTTTCAAATATCTTGCTTCATAGCTCAGTGTCTGTCAATAAATCTTATGTCAGGAACATCGCTGTAAAAAATTTCAAAATCATTGTAGGTTCCAATATATGCCAGTTAAAACTGTAAGTCATGCTGGGCATAAGAAAAAACACATATTGATTCTTTCATTTAACTTTATTCAAGCAATAGTTTTAACTTATATGTTTCCTACATAAGATCTGTCAAACTTGTTTTCTTATGTCTGAAACATTTGAATGTGCTAACAGTTAAAGTTCTTTGACCTGTCATGCCTGTAGTGAAATCTTGTTAGATGTTAGGCTGCAGTATTCTCCAGGAGTTTTAAAAATTACTTTCAACTAGGATTTGATTTCCAATGTCAGTCAAAAAAAACAAATATATATTGTCTGTCAAAATATCTTATGTATGAAAAATCTTATGTCAGAATCAAGTCTGTCAAAATCTTATGTCAGAAACTCAATTTGTCTGTCAAATCTTATGTCAGAAATAAAAAAGTCTGTCAAATCTTATGTCAGAAAAAATAAAGTCTGTCAAATCTTATGTCAGAAATAATAAAGTCTGTCAAATCTTATGTCAGAAAAAATAAAGTCTGTCAAATCTTATGTCAGAAACAATAAAGTCTGTCAAATCTTATGTCAGAAACATGATATTTAAGGCTTCGTTTATTTAAAAAGGATGATGCTCATAATTTTTTTTTGGGTCAAATTGTCTTTATCTTTATTAGTAAAGCATGTATTCAAAAACAGAAGTTCATTGCTTATGATTTTTGCCTAACGTGCTTATGGGAGTTGTTTCACTTTCTTATAAGGAATCTGCCATAACCCCCAAAATCAATCCCAACCTTCCTTTCGTGGTATTGAACCTTATGGTAAAATTTCATGGAGATCCATTCACTTAAACTAAAGTTAGAGTGCGAAAACCAATGTGTCTTCGGACGACGACGACGACGCCAACGTCATACTAATATACGACCAAAAAATTTTTAATTTTTGCGGTCGTATAAAAATACCTTTATATCTCTAGTTATACAACAATAACGTGAGGTTTAATGATGAACCTTAAGATTTTTCAATGTAAATTTATATTCCAAACAGGTTTTTAAAATTAACATAAAATAGATCAAAATAGAATAAAATAAAATGGAAAGTAATCAAGTTTTTCCTAAAAAATAAAGAAAAAGAACTCATTTGGGGGGTCTCACTAATTAGCGACAAGAAGCTTCAAGAAGAAAAATTTTAGCGTCAAGAAGCGACAAGTAGACTATTTACATGTGTAGCGACAAGAAAACTTAAAAAAAACCTGTTTCCAAATAAATATATTAAAAAAATATGCATTGACATTTTTTTTTAATATACGGGCACTAATCAAGTGATTTTCATTTTTTTTTTGTTATATTGATAGATGAAGAAGTTAAACATTTGTCATGAAAGAAGAAAGGGATTGTCTATTAAATATAACGAAGAGCAGCAAAGTCAGAGTATGAATAAATGAATGAAGATAAATATAAGAGTCTGCATAAATATAGAGGAGGACCTCGTGCAGGTGGTTAAATTATGCATAAACATGATAAATATCCTTTAATGAGGCAATACACAAAACAAAATGATGTAAAACATTCACGTTTTAATTCCGTTTTTCTTCTTGTTTGATTTCAATAATTTTAGTTCATTGCATTTATTTATCATTGATGATAATATAATTTTGACAGGGAAAACGTAATATTTGCTGTAGCAATTAGATCTATGTTTTAAAAATGTGTGATGCTTTATATTACTATTAAAAAATAACTTTTTCTATACATTTATATTTATTGATAGAATATTAACTTTCTTGTAGCTAAATTTGTTTTCTTGTCGCTATTATAGTCTTCTTGTCGCTTAAGTTCTTCTTATCGCTAATTAGTGAGACCGCGCATTTGGGTGATTAGTACACCCTGTTTATAGCGGCAAGAACTCAATTATTTTATACCTGTCTCAAAAGATCTCTTATGAAAGAGAGTAACGGGGTGACTTTTCTGCCAACTTGCGATACCTTGAAATTTGACATTTTCTCATTGAAACAAACGATCTGGTACCGAATAGAATTTGCAATGCTATTTTCTTTACAGAAGTTAAACAAGGAACCAGACTCAGCAAAATAATAGACACAAGTTCGGATATAGACTCTACCAACTTTCCGTATTGAAATGATAAAACGTGGACACACATTAATGTCTCACATACGTGCAATAGTAGTTGGTCTTATTTTTGATGAAGTTTTGTTCCTAAGTAGCATCAAATATTTGTCTGCATATAAGTGAATTGTACATTACTTTGCCTTTTGTTTGTGTACAAATGAACATTGTCTACTTTGAAAACTTCCAGCCTATTCAGTTTGAAAATTAGAAGCATAATTGTAGTATAATTACTATATAAAATAATCAAGGATTTGTATAGTAATCTTACTATACAAATCTTTCAAACAGCAAAAAAATCGTAAAAAAGAAAGAATTAAAAATAGGTATAAAGATGAAATAAGAGATTGTCATGATTTGTCCACATATAAGGAAACACCTTGCAGGTTGAAATATCATGTTAAATAACCTTTATCTCACCTGCTTTCTAAAGTTTTTTGCCAAAATCTTTCAAAAAAAGATGATTTCATCCTTCCCATTTCATAAATAGTCAAATTTTAAGGATTTTTCCTTTGAAAAACACAACATATTTGATGCCTCGTGTAAAGAGAGTGCCACGCTCTTTGCACGTTAAGAACCCTTGCAACAACTCTTTGAGGGGTCCGTAGGTGACCTGTTGCAAGGCTAAATTTCTGTCCCTATCCAAAATACCCTCATTTCCCGTGGCAGTCTAAATTTATCAGACCTTAATCGGAAGCCCCTATTAAAGAACCTACCTATTGTATTTATTGTTAATTTGTTCCTCGTCCTGAATATGCATGAAATATATGCCACTGGACGTTAAGCAACCAACAATCAATCAATCAATCAACAACATATTTGTAAATATCTGTCATTGGAATTAGAGGGGGGCCAGGGGGCCCGGCCCCCCCCCCCCCCCCCTTTCTGGGAAAAATTTGGTTGATTATATAGGGAATCACTGAAGCATGACCGGAGCGGGCCCCCTCTTAGGCAGTCAGTGGGCCCCACTTATGAAAATTTCTGGATCCGCCACTGCATAGTGTATTAAAAGGAGATGTTGAGTATATATCACTGTGACAGCTACTGAACCACAAAATAACCAAAAATCATCTAGAAGGAATCTGGTTGTTGGTGTTCTCTTTTGGATCATTTTACATTTTGTCATTCAGGGCATTTTATAGCATACTACATTGTATACAGATTATGTTTTACTTGTTGAAGACCATACAATCCCCTTTAGTTGCTTTAACCCTTGAGCTTTGGTCTCTGGTGGATAGTTGTCTCATTGGCAATTATACCACATCTCCTTGTTTTTTATAGACTTCAACAATGACAGGTGTCCACAATATGTGACTAGTCCAGCTCTAAATAGACCTCAGTCTATAAAAATTGTGAATGACTTTAACAGAAACAATCAAAGATCTGCCATCAACAGCCAACCCTCCACATAACAAAAATCATTATTTTGTTTTACCCTGCTGTTTACTGCAGTGTAAACAAAATGTCACCAAGTCTCTCAGTCATCATTTACTGCATGATCTCAAAGAATGATAGTAATAACATAAAGTAAAGATTGTATTTAAAAAATTCAGAAGTATTTGCACAATAACAATATAGCAAATAAATTAATATCTGAATCAATGATTTATTTTTAAAATATCAATGTATAATAAAAATAAAGTACCAATAAGTTAACAATTGACAATAATTCATTACATAACAAAACAAATATATTGATATATAACATAATATAATAAAACATATCTTAGAGTATTATTTTCATTATACTTTCATAGAAAATAATTTCCAAATGCTATAAATCATTCAGTGCAATAATTTTCCATATAATTAATGATGTCAATGTAAATGCCAATATGAAAAGTAGTATGAAAGTATTTCACCATCTTGAATCACAATTTTTAGCAAATGATTTTTCCAGATTTTTAATGAAATACACAGATTTGGTTGCTAAAATGCAATTCATTTGAAAGACTTTTCATTCAAAGGAGGTAAATTATGTGATTTTTATCTTATTACGACAGCTTATTTGCTTCATATGGGAGATAACTCAGATGATTCAATTTTATATAGGAATGTACAGTAAATTTTTCATTTTTGAAGTGTAGTCAGAACAATGTACAATGAACAAACTGTAGCTTGAAAACAAGCTCAGTGACATATACCCTTTCAACAAACAAAAATACAGATTTTTTCAAAAATACAGATTTTATTCATACTTTGCCAAAGTATTATAGTCTTGCTTTTTTCAAAAATATGACAAAAAGAATGGGTATATAACTTGTGGGATAAATGAAATTACTGCCAAGCAATGTACTGAATTGTGACATCCCATCATATTTGTCAAACTAAAGATTACATGCCATTTACATGGAAATGTTGGTTTATGCAAAGACAAGTTTTTAAATACATGTATATATCCCAAACATAAAAAGTAATAATATCACTACATAAACTTAAAAAAAGACTTACCAATATACAAATTTTACACTTTGCATTAGATATGAAATTTTCTAAGGCTTCTTGATGGCCTGAAACAGACCTAATATAGCAAGTCTGTACCAAATGGCTACTGAGCCAGTGTTCATATTTTTATCAATCATTCCCTCAACAATTTAAGACATACATAATAACATTTGAAAGAAAAAGAAAAGTTTTTGAACAAATATTTTAACATGGAATAATAAAAGTTGAAAATAATATAACTGTAACCTTGTATTGCAGAACAATGAATTTAAAATCCCTGAAACAAAACTATTCTGTCGATATCAATTCCCCTCTTTAAAACTGAAAGGACTATGGGTAATCTCATTGTTTGTAAACCAAAATGAAAGTAGCGTTACGTCATTGGTTGAATTTTCATTGTTTAGTAAGTTTTAAACCAATCACAACGTTTTGGTGTACGCTTCAGAAATTATTACCCAGAATGCATTAGATTCTGAAACAGCGAATTATACCTAACCTCTATTGATCAATCTAAAGTGACACATATGTGGAAAAACTTTTAAAAACCTACACACCTCTTATTTAGGATCTAATAAAGAAAGAATTCTCATGATCAAGCGTGAGTTTTTCCATTCTCAGATTGTTAAATTTATAAATATACAGTAAATATTTTAGTTGACTTGCAGGAAAATCCACCAAATTGGACAATATTATTTCAACAACTTCTATACCTTGTCAATCATTCATGATAAACTTGTAATTATAGTGCATTTTTTTTTTCAAAATTAGTAGTTATAAAGTAAATTAAATGTTTCAGTGATTCTATTTGTTAAAATTTTGTCATATCATTTATATATAAAACTTATTATTGATTTACAAAATTATCCACATTAAACCAAAATTGAATAGTATACATGTACAAACACTTCTTTAAAAATAACATAAGAGTTAAACTCAATAAAGTTCATACCCCGTTGATAATGAAATTTGCTGTAAATGATTTAATATGGTATATCTGATGTGTATCTCAAAATAAAAAGTTAAAACATAGTGAACATCAAGTAAATGTTCCATCCGGTGCCATGGATACTACTTTGTTTTCTTTTCTAGCTTTTTCAGCAGCAAACACCAACATATGGCTGTATAATGTCTCATCTGGTCCGGTCCGGATTTTTTCTAGATCATTTTGCTGTTAATAAAAAAAACAAGAGGATTTACTCTCCCAGATAAATTAATTAGTACAAAAATTTGTTTAAACCTCCAACATTTTCATGTGCCTGTGAGGACCTTGTCAGAGGTTATCTTATGTTATATCTCCATATTTTTGTCAATGGGGAGCTTGGTGAAGATGGAAAAATCTTTCATAGTCTCTGTACAAATTTATTCACAATTTTATTTAGAATTTAGGTGATTTGCAGGCATATGGTATCAACACCTGAATGTGTGAAGACATTATGTTGACCTTTAGTTGTCTTTTGTTTTTGTGGTGATGTGTTGCTGTCTCATTTATGTATACCCCACAGCTCCTTTTATGACTAAGATTTGCTTATTTTGCATCATCCAAAATGCCAAAATATTTCAATATCTAATGCAAACAATATTAACTGTATACCAGTACCTGAAAAGGAAAAATTAGCAACTTGCACAAACATAATCTGTGTGAAACTGATGCATTCATGGATTTGCAAAAATAAAAACCTGTGAAAAACAAACAAAACTTCTTAATAAAAAGTAAAATACCAAACTCCAAGGGAAATTCAAAACGGAAAGTCCTTTATCAAAATTCAAAAACAAAACCTCAAACAAATCAAACGAATGGAAAACAACTGTCATATTCCTGACATAAGTGCTTAATAAAAGAAAACCTAAATTATACTGTATGTATACATACAACAACAGCTTCAACAAAACTGTCCATACAGTAGAAATCAGCACCACCATGTCCTGATAAACCCTTCATCATTTTTGCTGTTGTATCAATTCTATCTGAAATACAAATTATTATCAACTATTATAGAAGTTATCTTATCATGAATTATTAAAAAAAAAAAGAAAAGATCAATTTCATATGTTAGTACATGTATATAAAAGAATGTTCAAATTATTCAATGCTGTTAAAATATAAATACTAGTTATTTAAACTTATTCTCCATTTATTCGAAATAAAAAATGTCAGTTTCATTTGATTAAGATTGTCTGTCTACCCAAGAATAATGCATATTGACTGCTGCAATGGCCAAACAGCACTAATTGATAAAAGAATAGGTTAACAATTTGTATGCTGTTTCCTCCAATATATCAAACCCAAACTTTTCAAAACTTTATCAAAAATCAAATTTTGAAAGGTTAGGACTTTTGGAGAAATAAATGTATTGGAGGGCACTTTTTGTTTTTGTAGAAAGCTAAAAATATGCGTGTAAAGAAATGCCCCTGCATAGTGCCTGATTTAGAAAGGTATGTGTCACCATCTAGGACACCATTTATTCTATTTTTGTCAAGTTTATAAACAATGGAAACTTTATATATTTTGAGGTTGGTGTCTTATCTTTAAGAAGATACCAGATCTTCCTCTGAAGTTTTAAATGCTTGTCAGAGTAATTTTACTGTGGAAGTTACCTACCATGATCTCCCCTTGTAAAATCATATAAAACAAGTGAGCGCCCTGCTCCATGGCATTGTAATTCTCCCTGAAAATAAAATTAATTTCATTTTATAAGCTTCATATATTTATCCTTTAGGTTCTTATCATGTTGATGAATTTTTTTAAAGAATTTACAGTCAATGGGATTTATAAGAAAACAATTTAAATATGAAAGTTTAATGTAAAATATTTCTTGTATGATTTGCCTATCTACAAACTTTTGAATGCTATTGGCTTGTAAAATTTCTTTTCTTGGTTAACACTTCGATATACCATGTTGCCTAAACTACTATCATTGCCTATGTAAACACTGTGTCAGTTTCAATCCGATATATTTGTACACGAAACACATGAATGGAATCCTGGGGTTTCACGAAAGGTGAAATTTTACTAGCTGAGAAACAGGGAATACAAATTTTCAAGTCTTTGGTTTGACCGAGTAGGGGTTTGATCCCACAGTCTGCCTGCTCCCCAGGTTAGGACCCTACCATGAGACCATCAAGAAGGTTACACATGTATTGTATATACAAGGCAAACAATATCAAATAAGAAATTAGCAATATACTGCATACAACACACAATATATTGCTGTATCTTTCTAAATCATTTGACAAACAAGGTAAAATGTAATCAAAGGCGTATTTATGGAGATTCATTTATGGTTAATCCAGACTTTTTACCGGTTCTACTACAAATTTTGTCTAGTTTGGGGGCCCTCTTTTTCAAAATCCTGGATCCGCATCTGGTAATCTTAAAAATTCATTGAATATAAAATTGAGAACAAAAATGGGGAATGTGTCAAAGAGACAACAACCCGACCATAGAGCAGACAACAGCCGAAGGCCACCAATGGGTCTTCAATGCAGCGAGAAACCCCCGCACCCGGAGGCGTCCTTCAGCTGGCCCCTAAACAAATATGTATACTAGTTCAGTGATAATGGACGTCATACTAAACTCCAAATTATACACAAGAAACTAAAAAAAAAATGATGCAAGACTAACAAAGGCCAGAGGCTCCTGACTTGGGACAGGCGCAAAAATGCGGCGGGGTTAAACATGTTTTTTGAGATCTCAATCCTCCCCCTATACCTCTAGCCAATGTAGAAAAAACAAACGCACAACAGTACGCACAGTAAAACTCAGTTTAAGAGAAGTCCAAGTCCGATATCAGAATAGGAAACACAAGAAAATAAACAAAATGACAATAATACATAAATAACAACAGACTACTAGCAGTTACTGACATGCCAGCTCTAGACCTCAATTAAAATGATTGAAAGATTATGTCTTCATCATATGAATATCAGGCACAATACCTCCTGTTAGGGGTTTAGTATTATACCATCATAAAATATATGAGAAGAACATAACCCGTGTCATGCCAACAACTGGTTTTAGAATAAATATGTTTAATTCCGATGCAAAGACCCTATAAGTGAATCAATATTAAAGCCAAAATATGCAATCTTTAATGACCTGACAACAGTATCGTAACTATATCCCTTCTTAATAAGTCTGTTTAAAGGTTTTGTTAGCTTTTGAGGTGAATACTGACATTTTTGTGCTTTGTAAAGAATATTACCATAAAAGATTGGATGTGAAATACCTGAACGTATAAGATGTCTGCATGTTGAGTTATATTTATGAATGATGTCCTTATACCGATGATAAAATTTAGTAAATGTTTTGACTAGTTTATGATATCGAAAACCCTGGTGTAATAATTTTTCAGTAATACATAAATTTCTCTCGCTAAAATCTAATATATTGTTACATACACGAGCGAAACTCTTCTTTATTTTTGTATATTACGTTTTACTGCAAACTAAAACACAACTTTGTGAATCTTTCTGTTAAAAAAATGTAATCAGTCAAAATCTATTATATCAACAAAGTGAAGGTCACATGATCCTCTGGCTGCAATCTATATTAGACTTCCAAATTCTACACAAGAAGTATATATTCACCTTAGTTCCAAACACTGTAACTTTTCTATCACAAATAGCTTCTGTAAATGCAATCATTGTCATATTTGCTGTAGCTCCATTTTTAAATTGCATGTTGACAACCTGGTTGGACATAACATCATTATCACAGTCATAAACACATTTCCCATAAGGCCCAGTCTTCAATAGTTCAGTTATATTTTCTATGTCTGGAGAGGAATGCAAAATGGACAAAGGCCAACCTTTGTGTCCCTGAAAACAAATTTCCAGCAATACATCACTATTAAATTACTGGTGTTCTCTGCTTTCATATTTATATACCTATACATTAGTGTGCATAATGTTTTTTTTTTATAATTATTCCAAAATATAAATTATATAACAAGAATATGTGTCTATAGAACACCATGGCCTACTCCCATTTTCCCATTTTCATGTTCAGTTTAAGCCATGAAATCTTGGTAAAAGCCCTAATTTGACTTCTTTTCACAATAAACATGTAAATTTGACAGCTAAATTCTAATAGCTCGATCTGGAATGAAAAATAATCAGAAAATTTTCAAAATCAAAGGTACCTTTAATAATTTCACCAATTTCAACAATTTTATACTCAAGTTAATGCACAACATGTGAAAAAAAAAAACTTTTTTAAGTGTGTGATTTGTGAAAAATTGCCTGCAATATGACGATTCAAGTTCCTGTGATCTTTAAAATTATCCAAGACTGTTTTATTTAAATTTTTTATTTGCTTAAAGTGACCTGAGGCAATTTTTAAAAATAAACTTGTGACTTAAGGAAGGCATTTTATGGAGCCCCAGCCTACTCTTCCTGAATTATTTTTTTTAGTTGTCACTTTAAATGAAAAAAATAGTTTAGGAAACAATTTACAACCTGTTTTACCAGACTGCGTATTCAATACAACAATGCAACTGTATCAGCACCAAACATAATACTCACATTAGCTAACTTTTCAAGGTAAACTTTTTTAGCAGAATATGGACAAACACGCTCTATAGATGATGGACAATCTAAACACCTGGATGCAGCTCCCTTTGGCTAAATCATAAAAAATTGACATTATATTAAAACAAAATTGATCCATTATATGCAGAAATTACCTGTTGACTGTTTGGCACTCTATGAATATAAGAAATGTGATGCATGTGGCAAAAAAATTCATCAAGAAATATTGTACATGTATTCATTGCTTCAATATTGTAATGTTATTAAAGTCTTATTTCATTGGTGACTGTCATGGCAACCCAAAAGTTTACAGATGTATAAATTCAACCTGTTTTCATTATGTCATGAGAATGAATGCTAATACAAGCAAAGCATTTTAGTAAGTCTTAATGAAATTTTGATCTCAACATAATTTTTTGCACATTTCATTGGAATAATAAGTAGTAAAGTTTTTTTTTACAAAGTTTATTTATATGTAAATTTTGCCTTTCATACACCCACAAACTCTGACTTAACTCCACAGCCACTTGTCTAAAAAAAAAAGCCTATACACTTTAATGTGTTATATTAAAGTATATAGGTAAGTTTTTTTTTCGGAGACAAGTGCCTGTGCTTAACTCGTAGTTTGAAAATGAGTTAGTCACTTTAACACATCAATTAACTCTTTAAAAACAACCTTAACTACTTTATTGTTTTAATATAGATTCTACCACAAAACCACATTGATTATGATATTTCTATGACACAAACTTTGTTGGTGGTTATCTTATGTCACATGTTTTTTGTTTTTTTTTTTATTTGGAGAAACTGATGTTGATGGCAAAACTTTGAATAATTTATTCAAACCTTTTATAAAATTAGAGCTTTAAATTTTATAGAGATATTGCAAAGAGTCACCATATAAAATAAGAAGATGTGGTATAATTGCCAATGAGAAAAATCTCCACCAGAGACCAAGTCTATTTATGAAGAATGTATGTTGCCATCTATATGTCTTTTGGTTATTTTTGCCTTCAGGTTGCTGTCTCATTGACATATTCCCAACAACTTTCATTCATATGTGGGAAATCTTGTGCTACAATTTTATAATCAATGTGTGGTTTATTAAAAATTTATCCAACTGGCCAGAACCGATATAAAAGCTCAACATGAATGTGTCCATAGTACATGGATGCCCCACTCGCACTATCATTTTCTATGTTCAGTGGACTATGAAATTGGGGTCAAAACTCTAATTTGGCATTAAAATTAGAAAGATCATATCATAGGGAACATGTGTACTAAGTTTCAAGTTGATTGGACTTCATCTTCATCAAAAACTACCTTGACCAAAAACTTTAACCTGGAGCGGGACAGATGGACGGACAAACAAACGAACGGACGCACAGACCAGAAAACATAATGCCCCTAGTACCCCCCTACTACTATTGTTGGTGGGGCATATAAAAGTCGAAATTTTAGCAGATTTCGAATTTTGATTGGAATCGTCACGTTTACGTTTGCCCATGATGGCAGATTTGTAAAAACAGGCTATTATTTGAACTTGGAATTATTTTTAATTATGGAATTTGCATAATTTCTTGTGCTGGAAATTTTTAATAAATTCCATGTTTATTCTGTACGTCAATGTTCTGTGCTGTGCACAACACTTTCTATTACACAGAAGATAGTACATTTCCAAAGAATGTATTGTGCCGCGCACAACACTATCTATACAAAATACATTATATGGAAAGTGTTATGAACCACTCAAAACATTATAATAACAAATAAACAAGGAATTTATCAAAAAATTCAAGCACAAGAAATTATGCAAATTCCATAATTAAAAATAATTCCAAGTTCAAATAACAGCCTGTTTAAAGTTCAATTTGAGACAAAGTCTTTATAACAGTCGGAGATTGTCATGATTGGATATTCTTCTTTATGATTTCAATTATAAAAACAGTTTTTAATATGAAAACAAGAATAGAGAACGCCCCCCTTATTTATTGGACAACTCAGCTATTCTCGGTGTTTTTCCTATATATTTCAATAAATTTTCCCCTTTAGAGTACCCCAGTATTTAACACGATGTACAGTGTTAAATAAAATAATATATATCATACTTATTCATTTATAAATATCCTTATTTGAAGAATAACTTTTAAATATCAGGATACTTTTTTAAACTGAATGCTCATTTAAAATAATATCTATAAAGCGTAATTAAATAGGATGTTGTTCCATACACGCTTACATGTTTGACCTCGTTTACCTCGTTTATGCATCATTAATTCTATTGATATTAAAGACAAGCTACGGACACCTCATCAAAGGTTACAAACCTGTAATCAGTGAATGATTTATGGCTTCAATATAACTTATTGAAGGGATAATTGTTTGACAGCTTGTTGTTATTTAAATAAAAGAAAACGTGTTTTTTCTACTTTAAATTTTATTGATGTACACAAGCTAAAGACCAAGCGGTACATTTATGTACCCAGAGGATTAGACTAACTGAGACACTTCAAAGTATCTGAAATATGCTGCTTCTGTTTTATTAAACCCAATTATGACCGAAATATCTTTGTGAAATAGATTGCCACAATTATAAACTAAAATGCTCAAACGGACATGCCCAAAGCCCCAAACGGACATTTTTATCGATCGATAGTTGGTAAAAATTGAAATGACCGTTTTATGAAAATGCCTTGAATAACAAAAAGTGGCAAACCAATTCTATTTGACCGTTTGAGGCTGAGAGCAGCCGGACTTTTTATGAAAGTTTCGGTCAAGTCCGGAATATATGACCGTTTTGGAAGCCCTGGCCCCTACTACTATTGTTGGTGGGGCATATAAAAGTTTTTTTTTTAATCAATTGAATTTAGTTGTCTTCTTAATTATTGTACTTACATATTTTTGCAAATGCATTATTGCTTTATGACTATGTCCATTTTCATGAACTGAATGATGATCTATAATATTTTTAAATTCCTTTTAAACTGACCTTAACACAGACATTTATAACATGTAAAATATGTAAAAGTTTGAAAGTCAATGAACCATGATGAGGAGGCGAGGCAATATAATCTCCTTGTAAATGAGATGTGCAAATGCTTATACAATTGCAGACCAAAATATCATTGACTTACCATTGGTGGTTCATCTTAAACTGACCTAATCACAAACTTTAACATGATAACTATGCAAAAGATTCAAAATCTATAGATCAAGACTGAGAGGGGAGTCCAATAATCTCCATGGAAATGATGTTGCCAATGATAACAACTGCATACCATATATCATTGACATATAGACTATAGTGGTTCCCCTTAAACTGACCTAATCACAAATTAATTCATTGTTGATGCCACTGACACCTCTTGAAACAGCATGTCTTATAGACTCGCTTTTTTTACTTTGTCAAGTCGAGATAAATACTGACATAAAAAAATGAACAAAACTATAAAGAATATATCGGTAAGTGAAAAATCATAACCAACAAGCATTCTGTGAGTATTGCATGGCAATACATAGTCCCCTACCGGTTAAAAATTCATTGTAATGGAGCAAACCTACCACTAAATTCTTCAAACAATTTACTAAAGAAAAGGAAAAAAATCCAAAATGTCATTTATCTTAATACAATGTCTTTTACAAATCTTTAAAAAAAAGATGAGTTATTTTTTATTGAACAGAAATCTAGTAATTAATAAGTATTTCATCAAAAATTTAATTCTAGGGAAAGTTAAAAATGAGTTAATTCCCTTTGAACAGAAATCTAGTAATTAATAAGTATTTCATCAAAAATTTAATTCTAGGGAAAGGGTTTTAACTGAACAAGGAGAAAAGCTAAAATCGTGAAAATCGAACTTGACCTGTAACTTGTCATGATATAACAATACACCAAATATCAAATCAATATCTTCAAGCATAAAGAAAAATAGTCTGGAAAACTGATTTGCTGGACTGACGGATGGACAGATGGACGGATGGACAGACAGACGGACAGAGTGCAAACCTAAAGTCGGTAGGGGACTAATAAAAGTTATCCAGCTAAATTTCCTTCCAGATGGACATTATGAAAAATCATGTTATCAAATTAGACATTTTTCCAATATATGAATTAAGCTATTTCACTACAGAGGATAAACAAATTAACAAAGAAAAACAATTTCTTAACCATTACTAACCATATCTAAATAGAACACATTCTGGTAAACTTGCCCTTCACTGTCACTTATTAAGATATACATGTTCAGTAATCAAAGTCATATGATACTTCAAATTTTAAAAAAGTTAAATATGTTTTATTTACCTTAATGGCTTAGTTTTATTATAAAATACATGTTAGTACATGAACTTTCTTTAAAAGGAAATAATTTATCTTATGAAAATATTCAGAAATGTCATGCTATTGAATTATTGTCTTTCCATACTCTAATATGCAGTGACCTTACCACAAGACCTCTCAATAGTACCTTGCAACTGCTAAGCACATTTCCAAGGGAAAAAGTAAACAAACATGGAATTGTTTCATATTTTTCATGTCAGGGCCTTTTATAGCTGACTATATGGCAAAGGTTTTTCTCATTTTTGAAGACATCCACTTCATTTGAAGTTTGGTGGATAGTTGTCTCATTGGCAATCATACCACATCTCCTTATTTTTATATGTATTACTTTTGGCTTCTGGAGAATAGTTGTCTCATTGGCAATCATACCACATCTCCTTATTTTTACATGGAAGTTAGATAGTGTTAATTGATTCTGAAAGAAAAAAATTAAAACACCAAATCAATTAACAACTGTTAATTATGACAAAGTTTAATAAACAAATAGAAACGCATGGAATTTATGTAAAAAAATTAAACATGGCTCTTTTGCATGTCTATCATCTCACTTATTTTTCACCTGTTCTATGATTATGTGTTGATTGTTCATTAAGGTCACGTTTTGTAAACTTTGGCAATAAAACACCAAAGTTAATTACTAAGCAAAGTTTTCACTGAATGAAATATTTTTTTCAATTATATGTTATGGATTTGTATTAAATGTAAAAAATCGTGCATAGAGAACTTAGATTAGTATATATTCATGCATTGGTTCAATAATTTCCATAACATTATAATTTCAAGAAATTTGATTCATTTAAGAATTGAATGCTTCTTTTTGTAACTTCATTGGGGTGTAAAAACGTTGACCGAAGTACATTTTGTATGAAGCACGGAAGCGCTTCATTCTAAAAATGTGCGCACGGTCAACGCTTTTACAACCCTATGAAGTTACAAAAAGAAGTATTCAATACTTATAATTACATGTTTTAGCTAGGATCATGAAAACACGATTTTTATCAAGTTTTTATTTAATTTACCTGTGCACTTTATTGTGGGACCTCGTGTCATCATGAATGATAAATTTCATTGTGTAATGAAGTTGATTAAGGAATAACGCGAGATTGCAGTTACAACTGTTAGCCAAACAGAATAACGTATTATAATGAAACATACATCTAATGTCATTATATATCTTTAAAACTTAATGCAGCATTGTATAACATGTGGTGAGTTCATAATACTCAACTATGAATATCTCAACATAGATGAAACATGACTGGTAGGAACTTTAGCTGGTATCTTTTCATAAATTTATAAGCTTTAGTTATTTATTTTCATAATAATGCTTTATATGGTGATGTTCCATAGTTGTTCAAAACATTTTAAATATAAATATATATGATTATATAGGTAATATTACTTTTGTTGAATTATTGCTTAGAAAACTTCCAAAGCACCAAAGGTAAGAAGAAGGGAGAATGCCATTATGGTTATATCTGAGGTACACTAATAAAAACAACACTTAACTGCTGATTAAAGAGCAGGTATATACAGATAAATATAAACACATCAGTCATGCAACTTGCAACAAAAAATCATTTTTCTATTTGCAGGATGCCACCTTAACAAATACCTTCTGAGTTGAGATATTTATTTCAACTTTGCCCTGAACAAATATTAGAAATGTTGATCATAACTTTTGTTATGATATATTGTCTATTTTTTTTTTGGTATTACTGTCCAGACATAACTATTGTCCATTTAAGATACAGTTAAGTTCAGAATAATATTTGCTGATTGAGCCTTACATTGGAAAAACATAGACCATTTATCACAAAAATCCATTACCTGAAGAAATGTATCAGTATCAGCAAATGGTTTAACTATGATATTAAGATAAGGAGATGTGGTATGATTGCCAATGAGACAACTATCGAACAGAGACCAAAGGATGATGATGTAATTAACTATATGTCACATTATTCCTTCCACAATGAGCAAAACCTATATTGTGTGGTAATATATAAAACATTTAAAAATGGTTAAACATGTCTGTGAGTGCTCAACCTTCCCCTAACTAATGGGACAGTGGTGTAACAGCACAACATTGTAACGACTGTAAAACTGTAAATAAAATGCTCCGCTGGGCGCAGCTTGATACGACCACAGAGGTCGAACCCTGAACAGTTGGGGCAAGTATGGACACAACATTCAAGCTTGATACAGCACTGAATTTGGATTGTGATTAAATATTTGACACAGCACAGGTTTCTGACACAGGATGAATGTGGTCTAAGAAAAATTTTTTAATTTACCTATTCAAACCATATCATTATTATTTGCTTTTATATATAAATCAGAAATAACCAATTTAAAACAGAAAATTTTAAAGAAAAAAAAAATTCCCCCCAAATTTTTTTAACCCCCTTATGATTCATCACCCCCAAACTCAATCCCAGCCTTCCCTGTGTGGTATGGTACCTGCAGTACAATTTCAGAGAGATCCATACTCTTGAACATAAGTTATTGTCTGGAAACTAGAAAAATGCTTGTTTTTAGCCCCTTTTTGGCCCCCAATTCCTAAACGTTTAGGGCAATTACCCCCAAACTCAAACCCAGCTTTCCCTTTGTGATATAGAACCTTGTAGTACAATTTCATGAAGATCCATACACTTACACACAAATTATTGTCCTGAAACTAGAAAAATGCTTGTTTTTTGCCCCTTTTTTGGCCCCTAATTCCTAAAATTTTGAAGCAATTACCCCCAAAATCAATCCCAGCCTTCCCTTTGTGGTATGGTACCTTGCAGTACAATTTCAGAGAGATCCATACACTTGAACACAAGTTATTGTCTGGAAACTATAAAAATGCTTGTTTTTTGCCCCTTTTTTGGCCCCTAATTCCTAAAATTTTGAGGCAATTACCCCCAAAAATCAATCCCAGCATTCCCTTTGTGATATGGAATCTTGTGGTACAATGTCAGAGAGATCCATACACTAACACACAAGTTATGTCTGGAAGTTACAAAAATGCTTATTTTTGGCCCCTTTTTGGCCCCTAATTCCTTAACTGTTGGTACCATAACCCCCAAAACCTTCCTTTTATGATATTGAACCTTATGGTAAAATTTCATAGAGATCCATTCACTTTAACTAAAGTTAGAGTGCGAAAACCAATGTGTCTTCAGACGATGACGACGACGACGCCAACGTCATACCAATATACGACCGCAAAAATTTTTTGCGGTCGTATAAAAACTATTGGAAAGTGCTGGACTCATCAGATTGGCACCAAGCACAAAGATCTTACAAAAAGACAAAACACACATCGTGCTGAAATAAGAGTACTTGCAGTTACTGAATAATGATTCAAAGCCAATTCCAACTAATACATAAACCAAGTTTTCTAGACTTATTATGTAATAAAACCATTGATAATTAAATAAATGGGGAATGTGTCCATGGGACACAGATGATGCCCCCGCTTCCATATCATATAAAGTTATAAAGGGACAACTGAAGAACGGTAAAAGTGAAGCTACCCAAATTTGTACTTGATCTGAGTTTTGTGGTAATAAGTATTGTGTATAAGTTTCATAACATTTAGTTGAGGCTAACTTAAGTTAGAGAACGGAAACAGAAAATTCAGCAATTTTTCCATTTATAAAGGGGCATAACTCTAGAATGGTTAAAGTGACACCCCCAATATTCGAACTTGATCTGTGTTTTGTGGTAATAAGCATTGTGTATAAGTTTCATAACATTTGGTTGAGGCTAACTTCAGAAAGAGAACAGAAACGAAAAATTCAGCAATTTTTCCATTTGTAAAGGGGCATAACTCTAAACGGTTAAAGTGTTGCCACCAAAATTGAAACTTGATCTATATTTTGTGGTAATAAGCATTGTGTATAAGTTTCATAACATTTGGCTGAGGCAAACTAAAGTTAGAGAATGGAAACTAAAAATTCAGCAATTTTTCCATTTGTAAAGGGGCATAACTCTAGAACGGTTAAGATGAAGCCACCAAATTTCAAACTTGATCTGTGTTGTGTGGTAATAAGCATTGTGTATAAGTTTCATAACATTTGGTTGAGGCAAACTAAAGTTAGAGAATGGAAACCAACTTTGGGATGTACGTATGTACGTACAGACGGACGGACAAGGGTAAAACTCAATGCCCCCTCCGCTACGGCAGGGGCATAAAAAGTATCTACATTTTAAATCTATCAAAAACATGGTCATATATTCTGTGAATGTTTTGGATTGTAATTATATGATATGTCCTTCATTAAAAGCAGATTGCACCCTAGCTGCACACAACATCGCCATATTCTATGGGAAATTTATGGAATGGATAGCTTAACTAGGATGGACTATATGACATACCCCTTTCATATCACAGCTTATTTGTATTTTTACTTTAAAAAATTTGCTGTTTTCTATAGAATGCATCACTTGATCGTTATAAAATATTCTAAATATTCAAAGCAGAGCAGAAAATGTACTATTCCCTGTGTTTTGCAAATTATTGTTATGAGAAAGCTTGCAGGAAAACTGACCTTATGTTCACGTGAGAAATGACTCAGATTACCAAATGATGAAATTTTCTCACAACGATTCTTTCCCATCCAAAAGTTAATCAGGTCAAGGTCATGACAACATTTCTGCAGCAAGGAATTTGAACTTTCCATTTCAATGCTCCAATTTCCTCTAACAAACGAATGTGCAAAATGCCAGTGGCCAACCTGAAAATTGTACATAATCCTTCAATTTCTTTACAAACCTTGTTGTCTTTTGAAAAATGGCTTAACTTGCCAAAAGATGAAATCTTTTCACATCTGTTTTTAGGTCCCATCCAATAATTAATAAGATCAAGGTCATGGCAACATTTAGCCAGTAAAGAACTAGAACTGTCCAATTCTTTATGCCAATTTCCTCTTACATAGGAATGTGCAAAATGCCAATGTCCTACCTGAAAAGGTCAATAGTACACAATGAGTAATAAAGCAGAGAAATAGTCACTACATCAATGATTTTTTTTGTTTATATTATCATAAATTGGTTTTAACTTACTTTGTCAATTTTCTAGATTTCTATTCCAGTTATGAAAAACTGACTTGTCAAAAGATCATTCTTTTGCTATACAAAATTCAATTATGCATTTTAAAATGAATGCACTAGAAATCAATCAACAAGGGAGATAACTGAGGTCAAAAATGGAAATATGATTAACCCTTACCATGCTGACTTGTTTTCTACACATGTAGTCTGTATGCTGAATTGTTTTGTTAAATTTTTCATAAAAATAGCTTCATTATTAATTTGTCCGTAACTTGATGATAAACGCTTTGATTGGTCCAAAACTTGATATCCATACAGTCGAAGCACTATATAATAATTTGTCACAATGGTTGCTATGGTAACAAACATTTTTGCTATTTTTTAGTATTTTTTTCATTAAAATGTATTTTACTGGCTAGCCTAGCTATATAATCATTTCTTATCCATCTAAATACATGTATAACTCTAAACTGCAGTAAACTGAAAATAACTGAAAATAAAAATACATATGTGACAAAAATGCGGAATTTTAATGTAAATAACATATGACTCACCCGTGTCAAGATGCTCTTATTCTCTTATTGTTAGAAGAAATTTATAAGATAACAAATTGTTGCTTTACTACAAACAGTCTCAACACTATAATAAACATGCAATAGCACATCAGAAATTAATTCAGTTTAAGTATTCAGTCAAATAAAAAGTGGTTGCTATGGTAACATCTTGGTTTCCTTAGTTTCAATTGCCAGAGAATTTGCATTATTAGGACGAATGAGTGACAGAAATTTGATATTTGTAACCAAGAAAGCAGGATATTTAATTTTTTGACAAATTTGACAACTCACTTTGTAATTCTTATTACCTCTGTTTCTGTCCAGGTTTGAATAATTTCAATTTATAACTAGTTTTTTCTTAGGCTTTATGATTATATGATGTTTTGATCAGTTTATGTAGTTTAAAACCTTAAGTAAAACCAGGTAATTAAGCTGTAATTGTAGGACAAAATTTACATCACTGTACATGTGATAATAGTGCTAAGGAGAAATCATTACATGTTTGCACAACTACTCTTAACATGCTGTCAAACTAGTAGGACTGCTTCTTGAAGGGTTTGGGTGGTTACTAAGTTGTATTACACTATACAGACTTTAACATCTTTAACATATCTTTTCTGATAAAGCAATGGGATTTTTTTTATGTTCCAAATAAATTGAGGTAATAGAAATACTCTTCCTTCATACAAACAACTATACTGACTATATGCTTCTGAATTTTAGGCAAGCAAAAACCTGCCAAATCATTGACTTTTGTAAGATCATTTGAATGTACACAACTTTTAAGTTTGGTTAACCCTTACCATGCAGACCCCTTCTTTTGACAGGTTTGACGTTATCGTTCTCAGTGCGGAACCCGTCTTTTGACGGGTTGCACTGGCAATTTTGTGACCTTTGCAAAAACATAACAAATTTTTAGCAAATTTATCGAATATGTTTTCAAAGTACATATATCAATATTAATGATTTGCAATCAAAATGGGTACAGTACAACTTATTGTTCCTGTTTGTCATTAATTAATACAGAAAAAATTTAAAGGACAAAGGACACATGGAATTGTTGTTTGACAGATCTTAATTGGAAATGTATTTCACCCTTTTGGATAACTTACAGGTTCTAAATGCTGTATATTAACAACATCCCCTATCCTACCACTGTCTATTATTTCTTTAATCTTCATGGCCCATGGACTGTATCTAAGTACATGACAAACTTGTAACAGTACACCTTCACTTTTACATGTTTTGACTATTTCCATGCATTCGTCTTCTGTTGGCTGTAATGAAAATAAGCATACAAATCATAATGAGTATAGTCAATATACTATAGCATATTCATCATAATTTATTTTTAAATAATAAAACAACAAAGTTGAAGAATGAAAGATCTTGTATTGCTCATCAGAAGTCAGTTTCACAAAAACATTTACGACTAAGATTGATCGTAAGTATACTGAATTGTCCATGACTTACGATCAATCTTAGTCGTAAGTATTTTTGTGGAACCGACTCCAGATACCTATGTTTAACAGGGAGTACCAATAGTGTACACTTGTATAAAAATAAGAAGATGTGATATGATTGCCAATGAGACATATTCCACCATAGATCGATTGACATAAAAATTAGCAACTATAGTGTACAACTTTCAACAATATAATCTTGGAAAAATGTGTGAGTCTTTCAAGCAACATGCATGTGGTCTCCTAATTAGATATAGGAAGATGTGAATGTATTAAGCAGAAATTGCAAAGTTCATGTTAAGGTTTTAGAAACCCAAAAAAATCTCTCCGATCAAATTTGTAAAGTAGGTTTACAACATTATGTCCTGAAGTTTTGTTGAATTCTGTTCTGACAGCTGTTTTCAAGGAGTTGTAGATTAACAAAGTGTGATGTGAATGACAATGATAATGAAAGACACTGAAGTCATGACAATACATGTAGCTTACACTAATTCAATTTGAAAAAATAGCTTAACATATGCAATAACATTTCATTAGCTTATTCAAGATCAGCTTAAAAACCCTTTACATTAAATAACCTCTACATAAATCAGATTTGTGAAATAGCAATAAGGCCAAGTAAATTTAATTAGTAGATTTTCATCCAAATTTTTGAAAAAAATGGGGTGGGTGGGAGGATTTTATTTTTTATTTTTTATTAGATATGAAACGCTCTTGTGACGTGTTCTTCATATATGCAAGTGTAATGATAAGGTTCTATCATGTATATACATGTATAACGAATCAAACATACAAAGAAATGCAAAAACCAAAATTTGAAACAGGATGTTATTAATGAAACGAAATTATCGACAGTTACCGGTAACGAAAATGAACAAAATCCGGAAATCGTAAATTTTTCAAAATAAAAAAAATTGGGGCGGAACGATTTCAGAGGGGCGGGCGGGGATGAAAATCTATCAATTAATTTTAATTGGCCTAATACTGCATTTAATGTAATCATTAATGTCTAATCCGACAGATAAGTTAGAAGCATACTTCACTGGACAAATCTCAAAACCACACTAAACAAAACTACAGTGGATTCATTATTTTTCGTGGGATACAACTTTTCTTGGATTTCGTAGGTAGAGTCTAACCACGAATTTCAATATTCAACAAAGTACAAATTTTCTATAGGCTTGTATGCAGACTTTGACAAAACCATCAAATCAAATATCTACAAATGTTTAATCTTTCCTCAATCCACAAAAATAATTGAATCCACATTATAGGTGTTTTAGGGTGTCTTCCATACTTTTTTTTTAAATATTCATATAACAAAACTTATTTGTTTCTATACTGTCGAAGAGAAATCATTACTTATTTATCTGTGTTTATATTCAAAGCCATCCCTATCACTATATTTGATTGTTTTTACTTACTGCCATTGGTTTTTCCAACAAAATATGGTACTTCAGTTTGGCAAATGCTACTGCTGGGTCCTGTGAAAATAAAAATGCACAGTGTTTATTGTTATTGAAGCTTTCATCGTAGAAAAGGGGGATTTGAACTAAAGGATAGTGATGGCAGCCATCACAGAGGGACCCAACTGGAGTTAACCAGTAACCAGTAGGTTATTTGATTCAAACATAGCTTATACCCATGGAAGGCACCTCTAATTTAACCGCAATAGATTCTAAAGCTGAAACAATTTTTGTACATATGCACAGTGATGACAAAGTTGAACTTAGTTTTAATTCTCGTCTCTTTACGTATAGTTTTCTACCTTGTACCTGACACACCTTCAAGTAGTGGTGAATATTCATGCCAAGTTTCATTACTCAGCTCCTAGGGCTAATTTTTATACACATGCACAGGGGTGATTAAGTTCAATTAAGTGTTTGACCTTGACCTTCACTGTAGGATTTTCTTCCTTGTATGTGACAAACCTTTCAGTAGTAGTAGTGAAAAATCATGTCAAGTTTTATTACTGAACTCGAAAGGGTTTAAAAGTTAAAGATAGGAAAATATTTTTCTACATATGCACTGGGGTGACTAAGTTTTTTACCTCGATGGGTACATAACAATGTGTAGTAAATTCTATGGAAAATATCCCTGAGAAACATTTTGAAATTATGAACTATAAATACCTTATGAAGTTTATCCTGAGTACATATTATTACACAGTCAGCAAACTTCTCTTTTTGTGCTGCATCTTTCCAGTCTTTATGAGAAACAAAAAAAAAATAGATTTAAATTTAAATAAAGCCATATCTTTCATGTGCAAGCTCATAAGGTACCAGTCTAAGGAAGGCAGGTCACAACAAATGGACACTTAGTTGACCAGTCTTTGCTTTACTACTAAATGCTGCATGCTTAATAGAAAAGCAGCAAGGCCTTTTTAAATTCAAAGTCTCTGATTTGACATAGTTCTGGATCATACCCATGTAATCTTAAGAAAAAAGTATTGCTTTTCATATCAATATTTGAAACCTCTCATATATGCATTTTATATATGTATGTATAAAGATAAAGGTTTGATTTCATACAAATGCATGCAAAACATCAAAGCAGTGAAAACATTTTCTTCTGATACAAAAATTAATCGTCTTTTCTGGCCATGCTGGTAATCCATTACTTTCAATAAATATCATTAACATTCATTTGTTCAATGGCAAATAATAATAAAGAGTAAAATTAAGTTATGATCAGTTAACATGTTAGTGATGTCAAGAAAACAGCCTAAGGCAACTAATGGATATTCAATGCAGCAAAAAAAATCCCACATCCAGAGGGGAGCTTAAGCTGGGCCTTTAACATATAAATGTACCAAAATGTAAAAAAGTCTTAGTTTTTATCTAACTTAATTTCATTTTAAAATCACAAATGTTGCATACCTTTTCTACCTTTTTGAAAAGTATACCTTTGAATATATTTTCTTTTGGAATCTTGTATTTGTCAACAAATTTATTTCGAAAGTCATCCCTAGGTTCTGCCACACCTATCACCTAGAAATATAGGTATGAAAAGTAACATGTTAAATTTTCTATTCTACATTAAAGGCAATAAGTAATTAAGATATCAAATACACAGGTTTCTGTAAATGTAATAAATCATTATGGTTACCTGGTTACTGAATACTGTTCTCAAATAAAATTTAAAAAATTGTGTTTGAATGGATGTGTGATTAAAAATTATATTCATGTTCCCCAAAATAGAAAAACAAAACCTGTTTTTTTAACCTATCATTTGCATAGATAAGAATAAAAGCTATAACTGATGATCTAAAAAAAACACCCTACTGTTGAGAATTGTATGTAAGCCTCTAGATTTCTTTTTTATTTCAATTAATTTGTTTATTTCGTCTCTATGATACATACTGTTAGTTACATCTCTTAGATATGTATGTACCAATACACATGATGGATACATTTATTTGTTTATAATTGTGGCCAATAAATTATTCATTTTGAATCCTACCTTGAACGGATGCCTATCACATAAGGCATAACTGGCATATCCACTTCCCCTGCATCCTGCTCCAATAACAACAGCTGTCACAACCTTCGTTTTTTCTGGTGCTGAATGAAACATTTTTCCTATAATGAAACAAACATGCCAACTTTTAGTGAGATCATAATAATGAGTGATGGATGCTTAAGATCATGTGGATTATATTAAATGGATATTTAGGATTAATAAATATATATACCCTCTTTGACTTGACTGCCATCCTGAGTTAGATTTGTATGGCTACATGGGAAGGTCAAATGAAGGTACAAAGTCATGTAGATGTAACAAATTGCAGAAAGATATGTTAATCTTCCTAAAACACTTTACTATGAGGAGACCTGTGACTCTTTGTCCTTACTCCTAAATATTGCATATATCAGTGACAGGGAATATATTTATACAATTCACGTTTATTCACTTAAAGATTTAAGTTATATTTAGATGTATAAGTATTTGCAAGACTGACGAGTTAAGCCTTTTACAACTGATTTTTACAGTTTGTTCTCATGTTGTACTGTTACACCACTGTCCCAGGTTAGGGGAGGGTTGGTGCCTTCAAACTAGTTTTAACCCCGCCACATTCTGTATGTGCCTGTCCCAAGTCAGGAGCCTGTAATTCAGTGGTTGTCGTTTGTTGCTGTGTTACATATTTGTTTTTTGTTCATTATTTTGTACATCAATTAGGCTGTTAGTTTTCTCCTTTGAATTGTTTTACACTTGTCATTTTGGGGCCTTTTATGGCTGACTATGCGGTATGGGCTTTGCTCATTGTTGAAGGCCGTACGGTGACCTATAGTTGTTAATTTCTGTATCATTTGGTCTCTTGTGGAGAGTTGTCTCATTGGCAATCATACCACATCTTCTTTTTATTATTTAATATTCTTTTCAAAGTTTGAATTATCTCCCCTTCATCTTTTTCAAAACTTATTTACAACTCCTTAATTTCTAAAGTTTTGGGAGATCAAAACATGCCTAAATAATTTATGGTTTGCTAATGATTTTTTACCTCAAGAACTAAACAAAGAAATCTCCACACGGATGTTAATTAACTATGCAATGCATTCAAATTTTGAATTTTGTTATAAAAAATGCAGTATTTTTAATTAGAAAACAGACAAATGAGATTTTTATTGTCCATGAAATTATACTTTTAAAATAGTAAAGACAATTATTAATGACAGACAATTAAGCATTCTGTTAGAGCAATTTACATTGTAGTGAACAGAGTGAAAATTTTATTCAATAAAACATTTTGTAAAAGGAGAAACTATTTTTTTTACTTTAAGTTAAAAAAAGTGTATTCTGACAAAAAGTCAGGACACTTAAGCTGCATCAATTGATGAGAGAAAAAGTAAATTTTGTCTCATTAAAAAAATGTATGGTGTAACGGAATAAATCTGTGTTTACATAAGAAATGATCATTAATCTAGATAGTATATAAGACATGTAAGAAGCAATTATAAATTGAAACATAACTCAATACTAGTATGTCTTGCAATACAGTCATGACAGTTATGAATACTTATTGGCCTACATGTACATCCTGTTCTTGCTTATATTTTGGAATTGCACAAGACCATGTTATTCTCAGCCGCTATTTATGACCTCCTTACACTCAATCTATTGGATGTGTACAGAATGATATTTAGAATAAGATTTTTATAAGTTTTAACATTTCTTTGTTCATCTTTTTTTTTTAAAGTGATTTGTGATCATTTCTTGTATGTTAAATTTTTATCCTGGGCATTTGTGTTTTAATGAAAAAACTTTTATCTGCATGTGATTTGTGAATTGATATTATGTTGTAAAGTGCTTAGAGTTATTTCATATTATATACTGTGCTGTTAAAAATACTGTATAATAATAATAATAAATAAGTTGATATCTAAATCTAGTAAAATATGATTTATTTGTTAGTTGTAATGAGCTTTGAACCAACTTTCAGTAACTGTGAGTTCTCTCAATTTTGTTCAGTGTTTTTTACTGAGTAACGTCTTGAAAATTACAGTTTCAAGGTTTATATATATATAATATCTTTACCTGATGCAATATATGATACGTTATATTATTTCAAAATACACACAAGATAAGTTCAGTGTTGTCATTACTATTTTTACAGATACAATATTAGAGTTATCCCCCTATTTCCCGGACAATCGTGATCACCAAAGCTCTTTCAATTGTGGGTTTGATAAATTATTGTAAGAATATCTTTGACGCCGATCATAAAAAAATATCAATGAATGTAATCGATTTTGGTTATCTCTCAGACTCCTGTCAGATCTTGTTGATGATTACACAGTCAAGGTATATAAACATTTCAATGTCTTTATTGAAAGCTAATGCAAAAGTTTATTTTCTGGAAAAGGTGAGATAGCACATCCCCAAGACATTAAATGGAGCAGTTACATATCCTGGCCTAGGGTCCTCTCCTGGCCCTTACAATGTATCTTGGTCAACTGCCAGGTAGAGAGATACATGTAGGAGCCTTAGCTTATTTGGCTGTTGGTATGAAGCCTAATCAGAAGAAACAGCTATGAACTTTTATCCCTATAGGGATTATGGTTTGATAGGGTAGCACCACAGGCACTTGTCTCAGAAAAACTTTCTACATGTGTATTTCTATTATCAGAATCATTCGTAATAGGCCTTCAAAGTGTTAATCTGTAATTATTTCATCTTCTCACAGCCCTTGGAAAATATTAATATCACAGTGAACATGGTGAATGATTAATTATAAAAGGTATATATTTCCCAAAAACCTGTTAGTTTTTCTCTGAATAGGACGTCGACTTATCTTCCAGATAGTAAATTTGTAAAAGAATCTGTGAAAAAATCTGATCTGATATATGTGTTATTTTAGGTATGTCTAATGAGTTACGAGTTTCTATTTTTAGACTCAAATTTTCCCATTCCATCAATGTCATTCAGACTCTCTGACCTATACATATAAAATTGAGATAACTCCAAAAAACATTTATTTTTAGCAATAAGATTTGACCAATCGGAAACTAAGATATGTATAAGAGAGGGGAAAGATATGAAAGGGACAATTATAGTTAACCATTTACATGATTTACTGCGAGATTGATATTTCCAAAGGGCTGGGAGAAGACGAAATAATTACGGTTGACATACTTGGGAGGCCTGCTACGATTGATTCCGACAACAAATTAAAGGTAGGCGTGTCACACGCCATAGGGTAGATGAATCAATGTTGATTTACGACATAACAAGTTTTAGTGGTGTTGACAACCGAGGAATCAAAATATAAGGAAAGTTCGTGACCGATTGTAATTTTTCAAATAAATTTTGGTGTTATATTACATGTAACATGATTAAGGTTACTGGTTACATAATAAAGGGAAAACAAATTTTTCAGAGACAAGTGCCTGTGGGTAGTACACTGCTAAGAAAAAAAACTGTGTTTACTGTACACTGACCCTACCAAATTTTTAAAGGCACTGGCTAAGATTACATTGAATCGTAACAATAACAAAAGAGTTATTGTAATACGTTGGGCACTAATTGCCGGAATGCTATAGGTTGGGTTAGGAACAGATTAATTACTAACATAACAATAAAATTGAGAATGGAAACAAGGAATGTGTCAAAGAGACGACAACCCAACCAAAGATCAGAAAACAGCCCATGGCCACCAATGGGTCTTCAACACAGCAAGAAAATACGGAACCCGGAGGCTGGCTGCAGCTGGCTCCTAAACAAAAATGTGTACTAGTTCAGCAAAAAATGGATGTCACACTAAACTCCAAAACACATAAATGAACAAAAATTTAAAAAAAATATACACATAATACAATGGCTTCCATTTTGCCAGATGCCAATGATCATCATGATGTTTAAAGGAAATTTCTGGCATTGATAGTGTGAAATGTTGTTTTCAAATATTGATAAGAAAGTTTTGATGCTGGTTAAAAATATTATTTGTTTGCCAAGCCTGGTAAAGGATAATGGCTTCAGGCTCACCATTCTACACTTCAATGCTGACAATGAAAGGACCTTCAGCATGTTCAGCATATGCTAAAGAAGATGCAAACTGACAGCAGGGACAAACTTAACTCTAAGATAATTTTCAGGCTTCTCAGTGTTAAGATTAATTAAGTACACACACTGTTACCGGTACAAGCTAGAGCCAAGTGTAGGAAAGGAAGCCTAGTCAGCTTGTATTACATGACCCAGTGTTCTAAGACGAAGTGCTGAAGTTATGACACAGTGCACTGTGCTTTAGTACATAACATCTTAATAAAGACAATGCTTTATCTTATGTATTATTATTAATAAGTAAACCATTGTAATTGTTTGTTAAAAGGGCCAAGTGAGCTTTTCTCATCACTTTGCATCCTTCTTTGTCGTCCGCTAACTTTTACAAAAATCTTCTTCTCAAACTACTGGACCAATTTTACTAAACTTGGCCACAATCATCATTGGGGTATATAGTTTAAAAAATGTGTCTGATGACCCCGCCCACCAACAAAGATGGTAGACATGGCTAAAGATAGAACATAGGGGTAAAATGCAAGTTTTGTCTATTATTTTGAAAACCGTTGTAGAGAAATTATGATAGGGCAAAAATGTTCAGAATGTTGAGCTCTACCAATTGTTCATTGAAGTCAAAACTGTGACTTCTTATGGAAGTTATTGCCCCTAAATGAGGATTTTTATGCCCCATTTTACCCTCTTTTGAGCAAAAATTAAAGAAGATAGACATTATAGAGAGAAAGTAAACAGACAAAATGATCAGCAATACAAGATCAACAAAAAAGAAATTTTTGTTATGAATTCTATTCTTTTCTGCAATGTTGGAGAGAGTCCATTGTTGATTATGCACATAGACCTACATGTAGGTCAGCAACACAGGCTCTTTAGAGCCTCTAGTTCATCTATTTATTATGTTATAGATGTAGGGCATATTTCTTTCTTATATCTCTAAGCCAATGACAATGAATACAAATAAAAAAGATGGAGGCATGAATAAAACACTATATGCTCTAACTTTCTCTTTTTTTTCCCTTTTTTTACTTAAAGGAAAGGTTAATTCAGTGCTTTATTTATGAGCAATCAACAATGAAAAACAAATTAAAAACAAAAACAGATTCTTCTCAATTATTCTTTCATCTGATATCATTTAAATAGGCAGGCTTTAACAAGGGTTCAGAACATTTATATGACATTCAGATGGAAGATAAGAAAAAGTAACACAAAAAAGACCATTTTTACATCAGAATGTTCGATATATGACAAAAAAAAGTTGATAAAAACCCTCCTGATCTGTCCTCCTGACCAAAATTTCCCAAGCTCCTGATCTGAATTTCACAGTCTATCACATGTATGTTTCATAGATCTTTATATTTTGGTTTAGATTTGAAAGCTTTTAAAGGAAATTGTTATTACAAATTTAGGTTAAATGATGGTTTCAAATCTTGAGATCATGTAACTCATAACTTGTTTATTTCATTATTGTTATAGTCTGTGATGCTTGTAGCAATTGAATTTGGTGAGTTTTGAAGACATTTTTTAACTGCGGTTCATGAGCTCAGTGGCATATACTTGAATTGTGAGTATCTCTATTTTTTATATTTGTAGGCATTAATATATGTGATGGAGCTTTAAACAGGATTCTCTGAAGAGATGACTAAAGATGGAAAAGGGTCAGCCACAATCCGCAGACGTAAAATAAAACACAGTCAGGATGATTTGAACAAAGCTCGCACAAGTTGCCCCAGCTCGCCAATCACATCTGATGATGAGCAACAGCATGAGGTGGATGAGGAAGAAGAGGGCTATTTGTTTGAGGATGAAATTCTTGGTCCATCGGTAGTGAAGAAGATTATGTCATCAGAAAAGACAATATTCTTGGGATTGCTGGCCTTCAGAATTTCTAATGCTCTGCTCATTCAAACGTCTTTTGTACCTGATGAATATTGGCAGTCACTTGAAGTTGCACATAATATGTCTTTTGGGTATGTAATTTATATTCACTGCAATTTTTTAAACTTTTTTTTTAAACAATTTAATTTCAACACTTATTTGTAAATTTTGTTTGAAAGAATGGACCAGGCACTACTATCAACAATAATCCTTGAAAACTATTAATTTTTTAGTTGCCTATAAAATGGTGTTAGCACAAAATGTGAAAAATGTGCTCCAGAAAATTTATTACCTATATTGAATATGTGTTCAAAAGACATTCTTTTTTGCATTATTTAAATTTTTTCTTATGATAGATCATTGATATTGCTATTGTGTTGTTTAAATTATATATTTTTTTTTCCAGACGATTCATTGCTTAATTTTGTACAAATGTGTATGGATAAAAATGTTTTATTTTATTATATTAAATAATATATGATATGAATACTTATGTGTTTACTTTGCAGGCAACTGATGACCAATATGGATAATATAATATTTTTATATTTCAGTTATATTGCTATTTTTTTCATTTTCCTTATACATGTAGAAATACTTCATGAAGTATGTCAATGAGCTCATTGATTATGTGAGAGTTAGACTTGTCAATATAAGTGAACTTCAGAGAACTTCCCTGACAGTCAGGGATATAACTCTATAGGGTTATTACAGAAAATATCTTACATGTGTTATTACAGATACTTTCATGAGTTGTCTACTCTTTAATCCTTAAATTTTCTAAATCTGTAATAACATATGTTTGTTATTTGTAAAATAAATCATAAATATTTAAATTTTTAGCGGGCTCTAGGGAACTCTTGAAACTTTGTGCAGAAACTAAATACATAGCCTACATAGTTAAGCTATTTCAGTTGATATTTTATAGTGTGTCTTTCTATGTTGTGATGTTACACTATTGTTTCAGAAAAAAGGGTGAAGGTTTGGTACCATTAAAACGTTTAAACCCACTGCATTTGTTTGCACCTGTCCTAAGTCAGGAATCTGATGTTCAGTAGTTGTCGTTTGTTGATGTGGTTCATAAGTGTTTCTCGTTTCTCGTTTTTTATATAGATTAGACAGTTGGTTTTCACGTTTGAATGGTTTTACACTAGTAATTTTTTGGGGCCCTTTATAGCTTACTGTTCGGTGTGAGCCAAGGCTCCGTGTTGAAGACCGTACTGTACCTATAATGGTTTACTTTTATAAATTTTGACTTGGATGGAGAGTTGTCTCATTGGCACCCATACCACATCTTCTTATATCTATTGATAACTAATTTTTGAATTAAATTAATACATTTTTCATTAACCATGGTAAATCAATGAGACAAGGCTTTTAAGGGATAAACTTAGCTGTAATAACAAGGCTTAGTTATTAAAGGCATGTAACTTATTATATGAGACACTTGGGATTTACTGGGAAGCTTGCGCAGAACCTCATTACATGCTCTGATCATTATTTCTTACAATAAATTAAAATACATTGTAATTAAGCATGATGTATGTCTGAGCAAATGCTTTGGACTGATGTAGAGAAGCTGTTATAACACCCTTTAGTTATTACAGGCATATTTTTTCTCTAATAACATAGGTGTACTATGCATGATTGGCAAACTATGAACTGTTAGATCTTTCTATAGTTAAGTATACATAAAGAGAATAGTAATATCAATAGATTTGATTTTTGGTGTTTTAACGCCACTTTTAAGCACTGCTTTTGGGCTATTTCGTGGCGGCCAGTTTTTATTGGTGGAGGAAGCCGGATCCGGAGTGCCTGGAGAAAACCACCGACCTTCGATAGGAAAACTGACAATCCTAGTCAATTAACTCGAACTCACAACCTCAGTGTTGACTGGCTAGTGATAACAGTAGTAACTACTTAGACCACTCTGCCACAGAGGCCCCTAATATCAATAGAACTTGTATACATTTTAACAAAACTAATGATGTATATTGTCCCTTTGAAACATATAACATACATATGCTATCATAGTTCTTTGATTTTTTAGTCCACAATAACAAATGCATGTTATTTTTCTCTAATAACCCTATAGAGTTATATCCTTGACTGCCTGATATGGACCATCTAAACTTGACCATTTTCCCCATCAGATACAAGGGTATATTTTTGTTTACAGGAACCAGTGATTTGTTAATGTGTTCACACATTACATACCTCATGTATTTGCATAATTTGAATGATTTGGGCATAACATCTATATGATGCCTTACAAAATGTATGTCAGTGCAAAAGGATAGTCACATGACATGGTTTTCCTATTTCATAGTTAAATGCTTGTATTATTAGTTTTTCTTTGTCATTGGTGGTGTAATATAAAGATTCAAGTGCATCAAAGAAATGCCAGGAAACATATAGATATAAGAAGATGTGGTATGAGTGCCAATGAGACAACCCTCCATCCAAGTCAAAATTTATATAAGTAAACCATTATAGGTCAAAGTACGGTCTTCAACACGGAGCTTTGGCTCACATCGAACAGCAAGCTATAAAGGGCCCCAAAAATTACTAGTGTAAAACCATTCAAATGGGAAAACCAACGGTCTAATCTATATAAAAAACAAGAAACAAGAAACACTTATGAACCACATCAACAAACGACAACTACTGAACATCCGATTCCTTACTTAGGACAGGTGCAAACAATTGCACCGGGTTTCAACGTTTTAATGGTACCAAACCTTCACCCTTATCTGAAACAATAGTGTAACATCACAAAATAGAAAAACACAATATCTATACATTGCTATAGGTCAAAATTTTAGGTCAGTGATCATAGATCATTTTAAAAAGTAACACCTTTTTTACTAATAAACTTTTAGTTACACAGTGAGTCACCATACCAATTAGATTCAAACTTTTCTTTTAAAAAGTTCATTGTGGTCCTTGCTGATTTAGGATTTAAAAAAACAAGTTACCATGAATTTGCATTTACACAACCACTATTTAAGTCTAGTGCTCAAAATAAGATCATAGTACATTTGTATAATTTACTATTATATATACCATATGTTTCAGGAATTAAATCTTTTAATTATTTGAAAGTCTTCTCTAAGCTTATAAGTAGGTACAAGTCTACCAAGTATTAAAAAGGCAAAACCAATAATTATTTTTCATTTTCTAATAAGGCTAGAGGTACTAACCCTCCTGAATTTAGCATGCCCTCTACCTGTGCTAATAACTTATTTACAGGAATACACTTATACTCCTAATGACAGGTTTCCAACACATTTTACTTTACCTCTTCAAATTTTACTGGATTTTGACCTGAGTGAGCATCTGGCATTTGCACTATCTAGGTACTATATATATCAATGTTGCTGTATGAAAATTGTGTTCATGTTCATGCACATAAATATAAAATATATACTTGGTAAATGTATTTTTTTGTTCTTTAAGGTATGGTTATTTAACTTGGGAATGGAAACATGGATTAAGGGGATACCTGTATCCTTTTGTATTTTCTTCTCTATACAAATTCCTATACATATTTGGACTAGATTCCAGAATATTGTTGGTAAGTTCATATAAAGTTAAAACTTATTTCATGCAAATTCCTTCATAGTTAAAAATTTACTGGTATGAAATTCTGAAGATCTTAACACCAAAAATGTTTCTTATGCAACTGCAAATTGTTACAATTGTTTTAAAAGTTATTCCTAATATTGGAATAATAATTTGTAGAGAATGATTTATATTTTTTTACTGATTGGAAGCTACATGAAAAAAATCTTTATGTTGTCAAAGAAGAAGAACAGAATTTTGATTAGCTTTTCATGTACTTTGATATATATTTCAATATTCTGAAGTTACACCATTTGTAAATACATGTACCAGTAAGTGTTAATTAATGATAACTTGTTTGGACTTTATTTATCTTAAGTTGTATTAACACTTGTTAGATATAATGTTGTTTCAGGGAAATAGCTTATTTCAGACAATTTTTTAGATGGACAATTTTCAGTGTTTTCAAAAAAAAAATTATTTTCTTTGTTTTTTTTTACGACCGCAAAAAAATTTTTGTGGTCGTATATTGGTATGACGTTGGCGTCGTCGTCGTCCGAAGACACATTTGTTTTCGCACTCTAACTTTAGTTTAAGTGAATGGATCTTTTGAAATTTTACCATAAGGTTCAATACCACAAAAGGAAGGTTGGGATTGATTTTGGGGGTTATGGTAATAAGGGGCCAAAAAGGGGCCAAAAATAAGCATTTTTGTAACTTCCAGACATAACTTGTGTGTTTGTGTATGGATCTCTCTGACATTGTACCACATGGTTCCATATCACAAAAGGAATGCTGGGATTGATTTTTGGGGTAATTGCCTCAAAATTTTAGGAATTAGGGGCCAAAAAAGGGGCAAAAAAAAAAGCATTTTTCTAGTTTCATGACAATAACTTGTGTGTAAGGGTATGGATCTTTCTGAAATTGTACTACAAGGTTCCATATCACAAAGGGAAAGCTGGAATTGAGTTTGGGGGTAATTGCCCAAAACGTTTAGGAATAAGGGGCCAAAAGGGGGCCAAAAATAAGCATTTTTCTAGTTTCCATACAATAACTTGCGTTCAAGTGTATGGATCTCTCTGAAATTGTACTGCAAGGTACTATACCACATAGGAAAGGCTGGGATTGATTTTGGGGGTAATTGCCTCAAAATTTTAGGAATTAGGGGCCATAAGGAAAAAAAAAACAAGCATTTTTCTAGTTTTAGGACAATAACTTGTGTAAGTGTATGGATCTTCCTGAAATTGTACTACAAGGTTCCATATCACAAAGGGAAAGCTGGAATTGAGTTTGGGGGTAATTGCCCAAAACGCTTAGGAATAAGGGGCCAAAAGGGGGCCAAAAATAAGCATTTTTCTAGTTTCCAGACAATAACTTGTGTTCAAGTATCAAGCTGCGCCCAGCGGAGCATTTTATTTTTTATGCTGAACATTTTCTAAAATGAATGGGACTACATGTATGACCAATGCCACATCTCATCCCATTTCAGTTTTTTACATGTAGGTTAGCAGATTTCAGCTCACAAAAGCAAATTGTTGGAACATCATATATGAAGATGTATTAAATATCACTAAGATACATGTATATGTTATACTTTTTGTTTTAGATAAAACTTCCAAGACTTCTTCAAGGAGTTTTTGCTGCTTTTGGTGACCTTTACCTTTTTAAGTTGTCATGGAAACTAACAGATCGAGCCACAGCACAGTGGTCACTATTCTGTCAGGTGACTTCTTGGTTCATGTTCTACTGTATCACCAGAACTCTTACAAACTCCATGGAAACAGTCCTAGTTACTGTAGCACTGTATTATTATCCATGGCCAAAGTGTAAAAGGTACATTTCTATACAACTTAATAAGAACAAAAATATTTCAAAATTTTGGTGAGTCCAACATTAAATTTATCCTGTTTTTGAAATTTCATTGAGTCCAAGCCAAAAAATGGTAAATCCATGACTCAACTAGAATTATTACCAGAACCCTGATGATAAGGCTTGGTGATTATAACAAATTTTGGCCCTTTCCAAATTTTCTGCCTGTCTTCATCTCAAAGTCACAGTGTTAGTTTTTATAAAACACATTAGATAATATGAACAAAGCTAGTAAGTTTATCCATATTGAAGCTAATGTTATATGAACTGAAATACAGTTTGATAAATAATTGATAATTCACAAATACAGGTAAAATATAAAACATATAATGTAAATTAAATTATTGATCAGCTTCAGATGGATGCAGTTATCAATTTGTTCTATGATTTATAAATAAGATATAAGATGGAAGTTTTGGAAACCGAAATTAATAAACGTGTAAGGTAATCTGGTAATCAATTATAGGGTAAAAAATAGTTAGGTTGAAATATAAATTGTATTACTAAAACATAAATAACTTCATGTACTTTACTATATTTATGTATCTCTGTATACATATATCATACTATACATCTATACTAATGGATAATTTCGATTCATTTATATGTTTCAGAGTTTAGTGTGACGTCCATTTTCTATGAACTAGTACACATTTTTGTTTAGGGGCCAGCTCCCCTTTTCATTCTCAATTTTAATAGACACACTTGATATATGTGTAGATTATGAATATACATGGGCAGGTACATGTACATGATACTTAAAAGTCTTGGTAAGAATGTGAACACAGTTTTCATTAATATAATTTAATTAACAAAGTATAGTACATTTACCTGTCATTTACATGTGTTTGCACTGGTTTCAAAGTTATAACCAAATATACACAAGTGTTAACTTATTTAAACTCTTTACCCAGAGCATTATAAACACTTGCATGACTTGTTATGTATATACATTGATATTGCGTAGATAAAACAGCTTGCTTCAGTTATTTTATCTTTAACAAGTGATATTCAATAAAACAGTTATATACACAGATGTTAACTTATTTGAACTCTTTACTTAAAGCATTAAAACACTTGCGTGACTTGTTAGGTATATAATTCTTTTTCATTTTGAAAAAGTACATTTTCAATACCTTTCTGAAAAATTTTAAATTCAAATTCAACAAAAATACACTACACTATCTTTTGAATTTATTCTTTCATCCATATTAAATCATTAATGATAAATGTGGAAAGGAGATGCAAAATTTCAGATCAGCTATAGTAATATATAAGAATATGCCTCAAAAATGAAAATTTACCCAATCTTTGGACAAGAGAATAAACACTTTTATAGTGAGATTATGGACATGAAAATTACTCTATGCCACCCTACAACTATTCATCTTCAGTGTCATGTAATTGTTTTCAAAATCTATAAGCAATCCTTAGAGGAGAAAATTAGTATATCTACAAATGTATGTTTGTACTTACAAAGGGGTTACTTTTGGGAAACAAGATCCTAGTTTTAGGTCTCTTCATATATTGGTCCCATGTTCTACAAGGATGAGGTGCAGTACGAGGGAGTGTCATCCTAAATGCTTTAAAAAAAAAAAAAAACATTTTATCCCGGATCCCAAAAAAATAATGAATTAATTCCCAATTCCCACAAATATAAAAGTCAGATTCCGAACTCTTGCAAAAAATTAAGGCCTAATCTGTACGTCCAGACAAAGGTCATTCCACCCCGCAAGGATAATAAGTCCATTTTATTAGAAGAATCTTTATTTGGTAATTTCTTCTGTTTCAAAAGATGTATACTTAAAATCTGAAACTTTGAATAAGATATGCAATTTAAACAAATTTCATTTTTGAATAAAGACTAAGAGAACCACTGTCACTGACATATATAGCTCATTTTATCCACTAATTAAATGCTTATTTTTCTAAAGAACTGCAATAAACTGTCTGCAATAGTGCTACATGTATATCAAGGGTTTTTTATGTCCACACTTTACCTAAATATGATTTGTACATGTATAAAAAATACATTTGTACATTGTCACTTTTTAATAGTTGTTTAAGCACCTAGAAAAGAGGGACGAAAGATACCAGAGGGACAGTCAAACACATAGATCGAAAACAAACTGACAACGCCATGGCCAGACAAACAGACAAATAATAGTACAGATGACACAACATAGAAAACTAAAGACTAAGCAACACGAACCCCACCAAAAACTGGGGATGATCTCAGGTGCTCCGGAAGGGTAAGCAGATCCTGCTCCAAATGTGGCACCCGTTGTGTTGCTTATGTTATTACAAATCCAGTAAATAGTCTAATTCGGTAGGTCACATTCGTGAAAAGGGAAGGGTATTGTAGTTACGACATAAGGAACATATCTGATATCTTCTGTGAAATGGTTATTCCATAATGGTCAACCAACTCGTGATGGTGTCCGTAAAATTTACGAAGGGATGATTTCAACTTCACCATTTGGAACTCTTGGTTTAATAGCTTCCTTGTGAGCAGCAATCCTCTATCAAGGAAATCATGATAGGAAATACAAGCCCAGGAATATCGTATCAATTGGGAGATATATACGCCGTATGCTGCTGGAATGTTGCTACATAGAAATGGAAAGTTCACAATTGGGAAGCTGAAATCATCTCTTTTGTCGTAAAGTTTTGTTTTCAACCGACCCTCATTGTCAATTTCTAGATGTAAGTCAAGATATGAGGCAGACTTAACTAGAATTGACAACACAGACATGGGCGAATAAAATCCATAAAATTGAAATCATTCAAATACTCTTCCAATCTTTCCACCAGTGATGTTGATCACTTTGATTTTCTTAGCAGTTAATAGAATTTAATTTAAACTGACCAATGTAAAAAACTTTGCTTTCCTATAAATGCTTTAATTTATGCAAGGAAGGTTAATAAACTGTCATGCATAAGATGATAGATGTTACTAATCATGCTTTCTTTTTTTTTTAATTTCAGTACATCCTTGACAAATTATTTAGTATTTGCATCATTATCTGTTCTAGTCCGACCAACAGCAGCCATCATTTGGTTGTTAATGTGTTCTTGGCATCTACAACAATCGTCTCACAACATATTCAAAATTCTTAAACAGTATTTTTTCATTGGGTAAGTTAACGTTATATTTGCTTATTATGCAATATTTTAATTTGTAATAGAAAAGAAAGGATATGGGGTATCCATCCATGACACGAAATCAGTTCATGCACAGCAAAAAACACAAAAAACAAAGGTTTTATTGCTGTTCTATATCTCAAAGTCAAAGTAGTTTCCTTTCAGGAACATGACCCAAACACATTTCAATGTACACATCCAAAACCAGGAACCTTGTCAGTGGCTGTCTTTAGTTTTATCTAGTGTTTTAATCCTTTAAAGAGTTTAGTGTTAAGGGAATACAATACAGTTACAGTGGAGGTAAGGTAAAGTAAACTGATCTTTTTCACGAGGTCAAAATGTGATATATGGGGAGATGAATTTTTTTTGACGGATTTATTCATTAGCTTGAAAATGAGTACATGGATCCTTCTTTTTTAAAATGACATTTTACTAGATTATGTTTGATGATTATTTGTTCTAAATTTTATAAACAAATCACCACTGATTTTATTATACGACCGCAAAAAAATTTTGTGGTCGTATATTGGTATGACGTTGGCGTCGTCGTCGTCGTTGTCCGGTCGTCGTCGTCCGAATACACCTTGGTTTTCGCACTCTAACTTTAGTTTAAGTGAATGGATCTTTTTGAAATTTGACCATAAGGTTAAATACCACAAAAGGAAGGTTGGGATTGATTTTGGGGGTAATGGTACCAACAGTTAAGGAATTAGGGGCCAAAAAGGGGCCAAAAATAAGCATTTTCTAGTTTCCAGACAATAACTGTGGAACAATGTATGGATCTCTCTGAAATTATACTACAAGTTTCCATACCACAAAGGGATGGTTAGGATTTGCTTTGGGGGGTTATGGCTCAAACCGTTTAGGAATTAGGGGCAAAAAAGGGGGAAAAACAAGGTTGTCCTGGTTAATGGACAAATACTTTAGTACAAAACATAATTTAAAGCAGTGTAAGGGAGATAAATCAAATACATCATTGAAATTATCTCCCTTACACTGCTTTTAAATTATGTATAAGGTGGCAGAAACCAGTTATTTTACAATACATCTTTAGAATTTCATGGATTTATGATTTTATTTTCTTGAAAATTCATTCAAGCTTATATACAAATAAAATGTATGGATTCAAGTAACTAAGATGTGTGCGTGCTTATGTGAATATATAGAAAACCTTTAAATTTGGGTGTCTGTCCAGCATGGATATTTTAAAATTTATAAATGCATTGCAAATAAGGCAAAAAATGTGATGCTCTGATACCAATCTAATCCTTACCTGCAGAATCCTGCTAAAAGCCGACAAGAATTTTAGGCAAAATTCAAGAGATAAATGATATTCAGTGAATTAGAGCCTTGTCCGAACCTATCCTTACCATCAAAATCTCAAGATATTTTTGTTTACATAAAACTGAAGTTTTTCCCCACTTTGATTGGATGCCGTCAAGTGAGGAGACCACAATTTTGACTTCTGATTGGACCCATTTGTGAAGGAAATCCCCAACCTGTGTATGCAACTACTTACTTGTGTAGTACAATAGCCTAGAATTTACATTCATTTATTTTTTCAGTCCACATGATGCAATTATATACCTCAATGCTTAACTATAACCAAATTTCTGCGTGGGACACATGTTCTGGTACACCAAAACTGGTACCTGCCACCTTTAACCACTTATTAAAAAGAATATATTTCCATTTTTTTAGTCTGATTGAGTTCTGTAGTCATTTGCCATTAAAAATACATGCAGTGCATATGGTTACGGCACAAAAAAAAACATTAATAGGCTTTGTAAGACCAAATTTATTAAAGCAATATTTGTGTCTTTTGCCGTCAAACTGCTTCGAATGCAAAAAAAATAGAAAAAAAGGATTGTGTTCATATTTAATAAATTTTATTGTGTGAGTTTTCTGGTACAGTGTATGAATTATCCAACAGTTCTCAAAAATACTTTAGTTTATTGTTTCATGCATGATATAAAACCACTTACAACTGATCTCAGGAAGTATTTTTCCATTGTTTGAGGTATTAAATAGTCTCAATTCTTGTCACTATCACTGTTCTGCTAACTGCAGTGCTGAAAAAGGCTTAGTTTTGAATAAACTAATATTTTTGGTACATATATTTCACTTTGTAGATCCATGCTGCACTAAACTAAGTGTACATTTATTCGCAATCAGTCTCATATCTCTTCTCCACATGAGCTAGCTGTGTAGGCCGCATGTTGAAATTTTAGAATTGCCACACTATTGCTGATGAGAGAGACCAGTTTTCTTATTTCTGTAGCCTGTCCTACAGTATCAACTATGTAGTAGACCTATAAAAAAAGAAGAATTCATATATTCATAGTTAAAAAGTAAATAAATAAGAAAATGTCCATATCATGTGAAATAAATCATTATAACAGGTAATATACAGTATAATCAGCTTTTTCTAGTGCTATGCTGAGGCTTATTTTACTTTTTTCTCTCGTTGTAATTGCTATTTCTATATATTTTATGATATAAAATCATTGTTTGGTGAATATAATCATTTTAAAACTAGTCAATTGAGTGTCATTGTTTGTATTGGTATACAGAGTTATCTGTCTTGATATTTGATAATTCTTAAAATCCATGTAAAAACTGTTTTCTTCCAAACAGACCTATACATTGACTGTGAATAAAAGAAATGTAACACCACACACCTGTAGAACCCTTAAAAAGGCACATTTTGTGATATGTTAAAATCATGTTTAGGCTTAAGGTGGCAGAAACCAGTTATTTTACAATACATCTTTAGAATTTCATGGATTTATGATTTTATTTTCTTGAAAATTCATTCAAGCTTATATACAAATAAAATGTATGGATTCAAGTAACTAAGATGTGTGCGTGCTTATGTGAATATATAGAAAACCTTTAAATTTGGGTGTCTGTCCAGCATGGATATTTTAAAATTTATAAATGCATTGCAAATAAGGCAAAAAATGTGATGCTCTGATACCAATCTAATCCTTACCTGCAGAATCCTGCTAAAAGCCGACAAGAATTTTAGGCAAAATTCAAGAGATAAATGATATTCAGTGAATTAGAGCCTTGTCCGAACCTATCCTTACCATCAAAATCTCAAGATATTTTTGTTTACATAAAACTGAAGTTTTTCCCCACTTTGATTGGATGCCGTCAAGTGAGGAGACCACAATTTTGACTTCTGATTGGACCCATTTGTGAAGGAAATCCCCAACCTGTGTATGCAACTACTTACTTGTGTAGTACAATAGCCTAGAATTTACATTCATTTATTTTTTCAGTCCACATGATGCAATTATATACCTCAATGCTTAACTATAACCAAATTTCTGCGTGGGACACATGTTCTGGTACACCAAAACTGGTACCTGCCACCTAAAGTAATGGTTAATGAACAATAAAGATAATTTAAAACAGTGTAAGGGAGGTAATCCAAATACAACGTTTTGGTTACTTCCCTTACACTGCTTTTAAATTATGTTTAAAAAAATACATATTTATAAAGGAAGACCAGTAAAAATATCTGCAAATGTTGCATCTTTTTTTTTTACAAAAAAATCCATATGAAAGATTTGACACTATATTTTTAATTCTATTATAAAATAGATTAAGTTAGCACTATGGTAAATTTAAATGGGTAATTATGGTTGCCAACTCCATTGGAAATTTGAATTGAGATTATGACCATATCTTGAGGGAAAGAATTTTTTTGGGGAAAAAAAGGGGGGGGGGGATAAAAAGAAATTGTGGGGGGTCAATTTTTTCTCATTTCAGATTTCAGAAATTAAAAAGAATTATTCTTCAAATATTTTTTTTTTTTCAAATTTCAAATATTGAAAAATTTCAAGAAGTAATCTTTAATTGCACAGTATGGCGCATTAGATTTGTAAAATCTTTGATCACATTTATTTATTTGTTATGCCTAATCTAACAGTGTATTTAGATTTTTAATTTTGGGTCCAGTTTTCAAATTGGTCTACATTAAGGTCCAAAGGGTCCAAAATTAAACTTTGTTTGATTTTAGCAAAAATTTAATATATGAGGTTCTTTGATATGCTAAATCTAAATATGTATTTAGATTTTTGATTTTTGGCCCAGTTTTCAAGTTGGTCCAAATTGGGGTCCAAAATTAAACTTTGTTTGATTTCAACAAAAATTGAATATATGGGGTTCTTTGATATGCTGAATCTAACCATGTATTTAGATTTTTTATTTGTGGACCCCGTTATCAAATTGGTTCATATTGAGGTCAAAAGGGTCCAAAATTAAACTTTTGTTTGATTTCATCTAAAATTGAATTATTGGGGTTCTTTGATATTCCAAATCTAACAGTGTATTTAGATTTTTAATTTTGGGTCCAGTTTTCAAATTGGTCTACATTAAGGTCCAAAGGGTCCAAAATTAAACTTAGTTTGATTTTAACAAAAATTGAATTCTTGGGGTTCTTTGATATGCTGAATCTAAACATGTGTTTAGATTTTTGATTATGGGCCCAGTTTTCAAGTTGGTCCAGTATTTAAACTTTGTTTGATTTCAACAAAAATTGAATATATGGGGTTCTTTGATATGCTGAATCTAAACATGTATTTAGATTTTTGATTATGGGCCCAGTTTTCAAGTTGGTCCAAATTGGGGTCCAAAATTAAACTTTGTTTGATTTCAACAAAAATTGAATATATGAGGTTCTTTGATATGCTGAATCTAACCATGTATTTAGATTTTTTATTTGTGGGCCCCGCTATCAAATTGGTTCATATTGAGGTCAAAAGGGTCTAAAATTAAACTTTGTTTGATTTCATGAAAAATTGAATTATTGGGGTTCTTTGATATGCCAAATCTAACCGTGTTTTTAGATTTTTAATTTGGGTCCCATTTTTTAAAATTGGTCTTCATTGAGGTCCAAAGGGTCCAAAATTAAACTTAGTTTGATTTTAGCAAAAATTGAATTATTGGGGTTCTTTGATATGCTAAATCTAAACATGTGTTTAGATTTTTGAATATGGGCCCAGTTTTCAAGTTGGTCCAAGTTGGGGTCCAAAATTAAACTTTTTTTGATTTCAACAAAAATTGAATATATGGGGTTCTTTGATATGCTGAATCTAACCATGAATTTAGATTTTTTATTTGTGGGCCCCGCTATCAAATTGGTTCATATTGAGGTCAAAAGGGTCCAAAATTAAACTTTGTTTGATTTCATCAAAAATTGAATTATTGGGGTTCTTTGATATTCCAAATCTAACAGTGTATTTAGATTTTTAATTTTGGGTCCAGTTTTCAAATTGGTCTACATTAAGGTCCAAAGGGTCCAAAATTAAACTTAGTTTGATTTTAACAAAAATTGAATTCTTGGGGTTCTTTGATATGCTGAATCTAAACATGTGTTTAGATTTTTGATTATGGGCCCAGTTTTCAAGTTGGTCCAGTATTTAAACTTTGTTTGATTTCAACAAAAATTGAATATATGGGGTTCTTTGATATGCTGAATCTAAACATGTATTTAGATTTTTGATTATGGGCCCAGTTTTCAAGTTGGTCCAAATTGGGGTCCAAAATTAAACTTTGTTTGATTTCAACAAAAATTGAATATATGAGGTTCTTTGATATGCTGAATCTAACCATGTATTTAGATTTTTTATTTGTGGGCCCCGCTATCAAATTGGTTCATATTGAGGTCAAAAGGGTCTAAAATTAAACTTTGTTTGATTTCATGAAAAATTGAATTATTGGGGTTCTTTGATATGCCAAATCTAACCGTGTTTTTAGATTTTTAATTTGGGTCCCATTTTTTAAAATTGGTCTTCATTGAGGTCCAAAGGGTCCAAAATTAAACTTAGTTTGATTTTAGCAAAAATTGAATTATTGGGGTTCTTTGATATGCTAAATCTAAACATGTGTTTAGATTTTTGAATATGGGCCCAGTTTTCAAGTTGGTCCAAGTTGGGGTCCAAAATTAAACTTTTTTTGATTTCAACAAAAATTGAATATATGGGGTTCTTTGATATGCTGAATCTAACCATGAATTTAGATTTTTTATTTGTGGGCCCCGCTATCAAATTGGTTCATATTGAGGTCAAAAGGGTCCAAAATTAAACTTTGTTTGATTTCATCAAAAATTGAATTATTGGGGTTCTTTGATATTCCAAATCTAACCGTGTATTTAGATTTTTAATTTTAAGTCCCGTTTTTTAAATTGGTCTACATTAAGGTCCAAAGGGTCCAAAATTAAACTTAGTTTGATTTTAGCAAAAATTGAATTATTGGGATTCTTTGATATGCTGAATCTAAACATGTGTTTAGATTTTTGATTATGGGCCCAGTTTTCAAGTTTGTCCAAGTTGGGGTCCAAAATTAAACTTTGTTTGATTTCAACAAAAATTGAAAATATGGGGTTCTTTGATATGCTGAATCTAACCATGTATTTTGATTTTGGACATTGGACCATAATAGGTAAATTAAAAAAATTCAAGTTCTTAGACCACATTCTTTCTGTGTCAGAAACCTATGCTGTGTCAAATATTTAATAACAATCCAAATTCAGAGCTGTATCAAGCTTGAATGTTGTGTCCATACTTGCCCCAACTGTTCAGGGTTCGACCTCTGAGGTCGTATCAAGCTGCGCCCCAGCGAAGCATTTTATTTTAATTAGATACAGTAAATATCCAACAAAAAATGTCTTTTTTTAATCTCTAAAATTATGAAAATTTGATAGAAATTAATTATTTCCAAAGAGTTGTTACAAGTAAGAGCATACATATTAAATATTTTAGCAAAAAACCGCTTGTGACCACAAAGTTCAAAATATGTCTATTTAAAGGATAGAAATGTCCAAGAAATCTAAATTTTTAGTAAATGTTTAAAATATCAACCCCATTTATCACTAAAAGTAGCATAAGATAGAAAAAAAATAACTGCGGTATCAAAACTGTAGTGTATTCCCTGAAATGCAGGTCTTATGTTATTCATAACTTGTCTTAAGACTTACATGTAGGATAATTTATAGCTTTACCTATTGTAAAGACCTTTAAGTTGGTCTGTTGTTGATCTCTCATGTCTATTCTGTGTATTTTCTTGTTTATGTGCATAGTTAGGTTAATTGCTATGTTATTGACAGGATACCACTCAACTCATTTTAATATTAATTATCAACTGCTTGGTTCAATCTTTGACTAAAAACTTTAAAAAATTGGATTGAAATGCTTGCTGTTCTCTGAAGTTGTAAAAAAAATTACCTAAATTAATTCTGGACATTCAAATTTCTGTTTACCTATTTCAATGTTAATTATTTATGAATTACTTGTAGTTCTGTCATGTTGGTGTTTAGCTGTATCATTGACCGTTGGTATTATGGAGACTGGATATTAGTGCAATACAACTTCATAGAATTTAATGTCCTAAAGGGAGGAGGTTCATTTTACGGGACACATCCATGGCATTGGTACATCACACAAGGTTATCCTGTCATCATGACCAGTCATCTTTTCCCTTTTGTAATGGGTGCATGGAAGGCCAGAAATAAAGTTCTCTTATTTCTCATTGTATGGATGATATTTTTCTACAGGTGAGTACAGAAACCACACAACAGAATTTCATGAAACTTTGTAGATAATGAGGACATACTATTTAGATGTGCATATCGTCAGGACATTATGATTCAATTTTTTTCTAGGATTTATGCCCTTTGCACTTAGAATATTGGCCTAAATATACTACTACAACAGTTTGTCATCGCAACTCCTCTGAAAACACACAACAGAATGTCATGAAACTTTGTAGATAATATGGACATACTATGTAGATGTGCATATCAACAGGAAATTATGATTCAATTCTTTTTCTAGGATTTATGCCCCTTTGAACTTAGAATTTTGGCCTAAATATACTACTGCAACAGTTTGTGATCGCAACTCCTCTGAAACCACACAACAGAATTTCGTGAATTTTTGTAGTTAATGAGGACATAACATGTAGATGTGCATATCCACAAGAAATTTTAATCAGTGGACTTTTGTAGGAGTTCTGAGTCTTTGAACCTATTAGGAATCTGGTGATATTTTGTTTGTCCAGTGACAGTGTGGGGGCTTGGGGTATGTGAGAGTGCTCAAAAAGGTTCTTTCATTTGACCTCTTTTGTCATTGAATGTGATTTCTGTAAAAAAATAACTGCTTCTGCATTGTCCATGTTGAATACAAAAGGACAGAGGCTGGTAGAACAAATATTAGGTACCAGTATATAAAATTTGAGTAATTATTATTTGCTTTTACCTTACAGCTTTTTATCACACAAGGAATTCAGATTCCTACTGCCTGCATTACCAATGTCAATGCATTATTGTGGAGTATACTTCAACAGTTTATGCAGAAAACCAAGAATTAAAAAGAAAAAGCTAAAGAAAAGGTCTGAAAGTAAACAAACAAAAACTACAAGTAGCTCAGACAGTCTAGTCAGCAGTGATGGCTCCACTACACCCATCATACACCAGTCAACTGGAACTGTACATGTCATTGATGGTGCCATTGATGAATCACAGGAAGTAGATGGGGCTTCTGAAGTCACTGACAAATCACAACCTTCTAGTCCATCCTCCAAATTATCCAGTGAAGATCCCTTTGAAAAACAACAAAGAAAACACAAACATAATTTGACAATGGCTAAATATTTAGTGTTCATATTGATTGGACTTAATTTGATACCCGCCATGTATTTTGGAGTGATGCATCAAAGGGGAACAACTGTTGTTATGAAGTACCTGTACGATGAAAGCCTAGAGAAGGATATGGATGTTTTATTTTTAATGCCCTGCCATTCCACACCTTATTACAGGTAAGAGCTACAAATATGGCTATCAATTTGTACAAACTTAAGTTATTATGGATTAATTTGTTAAAATTTCTGTACATGCAAGAAATATTTGCCACTAAACATAAAACATTATTTATTGAGAATACTCTGTAACTGAGAAATTTAAATTAAAAATTGCAGAAAATTGTGCCAAACATAACCCCATTAGTTATTTTCAATTTATGCTCTAACCTGAAACAAGATATTTAAAGAAAAAACTTTTTTCAGATACACCCTTGAATTTTAATCTTCTTTAACAATCATATTCTAATGGGGGACATTATGGAGAGCTTGTGATGGTGATGCCCCCGCCATCACCGGATGGGGCTTTAAGTGTTACCCTTGTCTGTCTATCTGTCAGTCAGTACTTACATCCCAAAATTGGTTTCCGTTCTCTAACTTTAGTTTACCTCAACCAAATATTATGAAACTTATACTCAATATAAAAATAAGGAGATGAGGTATGCTTGCCAATGAGACAACTATCCACCAAAGTTCAAAGAAGTGGATGTAAGCAATTATAGGCAACCACACGGCCTTCAACAATGAGAAAAACCCATACCAATATAGTCGGCTATAAAAGGCCCCATAAAAGATATGAAACAATTCAATTGAGAAAACTAACGGCCAAATTTATAACAAAACAATTACAGTAAAACCTGTAGAAACCGGCCGGCTGCAGGACTATGAAAAAGGGCCGGTTTGGACAGTGGGACGGTTTATTCAGGTTTCCATTTTGACCAGAAGTTAATGACTTGTGACGTCCAATATATTGCATGAAAAAAGTTATGTCTGATTGTAAATTATAAACTGATAAATACAAAACGTAATAACGTAATAACTTTGCAGAATCGTTGTTTTGAATCTTCTTATTCATTGACTATAGAAATTTAAGAATCTGGTTGTTCCTCGAATTAAAAAAAATAATATTTTAACCTTTTTTTACATATCCTCGTATGTCAAATAGACCTCGGTAGCATCGGTATCCGACTTGTCATTTTCACTTTCACTTTTTCATTGTTTTCATTTGCATCAGAATCCTCACGTTGTTTGAATTGTGACACGAAAGTTTCGTTTTACTTCCATCGTTCATTTCTGACGTTGGTTTAGCCGAATAAAAAGCCAGAATTTTATCAAACAAAATTTCACCACGATCGAAACGATGTACAGTGTACGATACCCATGGATTGTCGTCATCCATTATCAGTGTCATTGGTTTAGGGGTTCACAACAAGGAACCCAGGATTTCGAAAACACGATGTAAATTTCTTACTCCGCGATTTGAAAAAAAAAATCCAAGTTACAACGTAAGTTCTATCTGAGATATATTCGACGTGTCTTAGTTTAATTTACACTTTTATAGTGTTTCAATAATACAGCTTACTACTGTACCATGTGTAAGTTCACGGTTTAACACCTGACTAATTGATTATCCTGAAAAGCCATCTTGTATAAACAAATATGTTTTGATTGCATATCGATCAATACTGTTATCATTTAAAATTAATTAGACAGACCGGTTTTGACAGGTAATTATTGATGTAATTATGAGTATTGGAACTGCATCATTAAACCGTAATTCGGAATACACAGGGTCCGGTTTACAAAGGGTATTTTAACAAAGACTTTGAAGGGAAAAAAATGGGACTTTAATTTTCGGCCGGAATGGACAGGAAACCGGTTTATTCAGGGTCCGGTTTACTCAGGTTTGACTGTAACAACAAACAAAAAAATATGACCGACATTAACCAACGACAACCACTGAACTACAGGCTCCTGACTTGGGACAGGCACATAAAGAATGTGGCGGGGTTAAACATGTTTGTGAGCGCTCAACCCTCCCCCTAACCTGGGACAGTGGTGAAACAGCACAACATAAGAACAAACTATAAAAATCAGTTGAAAAAGGCTTAACTCATCAGACCAATACAAAGCGGAACAATAAAAAAAAAACACAGACCAAACGTGGCAGGGTGTTTATCCATCCCTCATCCCTAACAACAAAAGGACACTAAGTACAGATCTGAGAAAACTCGCAGTTATGCTTATTACCACACAGATCAAGTTCGAATAAGGGTGGTGTCACTTTTACCGTTCTCAAGTTATGTCCCTTTAATATCTTAATTATGTGAGATTACAAGGGCAAGGTCAACCTGGAGCTTGCTTCTCCAAGAGAAGTTTCTTGCTGTTGTTGTTGCTGAGCCATTGTCTTGATTCTGTGTTCTGTCTGTGTCTTGATCGTTTCATAAGCTACCAAAATGAAGATAGATATCTATAATTTCTATTTTACATCACAGTTTTCATGAAAAGCTTATTTAGTCTTCCTGTTGTTTCTTTGTCAACATTGACATTCTTCTTTCCAAAGCAGAAGTTCATTTGTAACAAAGAATAGTGCAGTAAATATAAAATACCAAGCACATGTATACAATTAATGTTTATAATCATTAAACTCTTAATAAATATATTCAAATGGAATTTAATATTGATAAATTCCATTGCTTATTACGACAACAGGCCAGACTTGCGGTCCTCTTACGTAACAACCTGCCCAGAGGGTGCGAAAATTTAAACACCCATTCTACCTAAATAGTAATTTTATCTTATTTGTTATTTTAGTTACCTACATCAGAATATTACCATGAGATTTCTCACATGTGAACCAAACCTGAAACAAGTAGAAGACTACATAGACGAAGCAGACGTATTTTATGAAGATCCAGAAGATTGGTTAAAAATAGAATATAAGCAGCAGAAGAGACAATTACCAAGTCATCTTGTTTATTTTAATACTCTACAGTTTGATATTTCTTTATTTTTATCTCAGAGTGGTTACAGACAGTGTGGGAAATTTTTCCATACACATTTACCGGAAGGTAGAACAGGCAGCCATGTTATTGTTAGTTGTAGATGATAATTGTTTTAACGTGTTATTTTTTTTATCAATCGGGACCATTTTGACTTGCATATCACTTAATAGCTTATTGGTTTTGTATAGCACGCAAATTCTTTAAAATAGTTGAGACCCCACTAAAAAAAAAGATAAAGATGTTGAATATGACACTTTTTCAAACAGAAATTACTGATAAATAAGAAAAAACTATGGAAATTGTTGAAAGAACAGAAAATTGCAATTAAATTTTATACTTTTTAATTTTATTAGGGTAAAAGAAAAAATAATAAAGAAACTTTTCATTTTTATTTTTTTCTAAGAATTGTTTTTGCGTTTAATATCTTTAAGGATTGTGGTATTTCCCCCGAAAGCGTGTAAAACTTTCTAAAATGATCATATGTTGTTTTTACTTTATATGTTACATTTGTTATTTGCTTTTTGACAACTTAAAATATTCTATGCAGAAAAAAAATCATCTTACTGCTGATGTTTCTAATTTTGTTGAAATATTTTTAATCATGATCATGATATAAAAATGATTATATCCGTCCAAGAAACAATTATGTGATATCTGTTCAAAATACAGTTGAGAAGTGGTAGTTTATATTTGATGCATTTTGGGTGAATTTTGATGTATGTGAGAATTTAGAGCTAGCAATTCACAGAATTCTGGTTTGTTATATTATATTCCATTAGACGTTAACTCCCTTGCAATAATTTTTTTTCAAATGTCAAAATGTTGTTTTTTTACACTGCTGTTCCCATTTATCATGTAAGATTAAAAAATTAAATTTTAAGAAGAACATCTGAATTGGTTATGAGATTGAGTTCATTTTTAAAGGTAATTTAAATAAGGGAAATAACTCTGTTTTTTTAGCAGAACATTTTGAAAGAATTTTAATATTTATTAAAGCATTGTTTTGGCTGTCATTCTGCAATGAAAAACTTTTTTATTGCCAGTTGGTATTTTCTTAAAATTTTTCTTTATCGTAAACAAAGATTGGGTTTTCAAAGCAGGCTTCTGCTGTTTTGGCAATTGGATATTTTGTTTGGAAAATAGTGGATTATTTATCTATAAGATTTTGAAGCTTTGTTCAGTTGAATTGTTTATTTTTCTAAATTGTAATTTAAAAAAATCAAATAATAGGAATATCATTTAATATAAATTCTGGATACCAACTTTAATAATAGAATCATGGCCTACCAGTTTACAAGAATTTCAGGGCCATAATTTGAAAGTTTCTAAAAATATATAGAGAGTAAAAAAAGCAGAATTTGACTTATTTTAGAAAAATGTTCAGTATTTGTTAATTTTTCCTTACTTTAGGACACTGTTCATCCTCCCCTTCCCCCTTACAAAAAAAAATAGGACAGCAGGGAAAATGAATCAATTTGTTCAATTTTTGTTGGTAAAATGACAATTCCATAATATAGGTGGATGCTAGAATCACAAACAATCATTTATAATCATAAATTACTATTGAGTGCAAAGAGTACTTAAAAGAATATATTCTCATTATAACAGCAATTTGTGTTATATTAACTACCGCAGCTTACATGTGACATCAGATCATTCTGTTTACATCATTCTGTTAACAACTGTTAGTACCAAATTAAAGGAAAAAAAGCATACTGGAGATAATTTGGCACTCATAAAATGAAATAATGTATGACACCATTAATAAAAGCATTGTTTTAATTACTGTGGATTCATTATTATTTGTTGGATACCAATTTTCGTGGATTTCGAGGCTACAGGTGAACCATGAATTTAAATGTTCAACTAAGTTCAAATTTTCTATAGGTTTGTATGCAGACTTTTGTAAAACCACAAAATCAAATATCCACGAAATACATTTGTCCTTAATCCACGAAAATTGGTACCCACAAAAATAAATGAATTCACAGTAAGAAGAAAGACTGGTGAATATTATCAATTCCTTGATGACACAATTTGACTTTGAAATCATTAAAGAAGTCACAAGAGAAATATTTTAGATTTGTAGCAAAATATGCGAATTTCAGGAACATTTTGGCAAAATTTACAATAAGCACAAGTGTTTCCACAAAAAGTATTTTGCCAGTGAATAGATAAACACAAATTAAATACATTTCCTGTGTGAATATTTTTCGGGGACAGTAGTTCTCTGTGATATTTCTACACATGTGAAAGTCTTAAAGTAAAAATGTTGCATTCAAATACAATAACCAATACAATGAATGCTAAATATACTCTTAGATTTCTTAAATATAATCAGCAAAACTGTCTTTGATTAGATTGATTTTTTGCTAATGTTAGATTTCTGTACTAAAACTTCTTTACGTACATACCAAAATTCTTAATATGCATTGTTTTAGCTGTTTACACTATGAAGTACAGTCCCATATAAAAATGAAGCAGTATTTTTTAAATGGCTAGAACAATAAATTAATACACTTTTTAATGATTATACATAAAGATTTAGTATATATGTGCACAGTGAAGTTTTCACAAGCATTTAATTTTCCATAATTTGTGTGTCACAAAATGGGAGATAATAGTACTTTCAGCTGATCTTAAATTGATTTGAAAACCGAAATGAAGTTATCATGAAAGAAATCATTTTTGTCTAGCCTTCGACTTTAGTCGAAAAAGCGAGACATAGCAATCCTACATTCCGTCGTCGTCAGCGGCGTCCACAAATATTCACTCTGTGGTTAAAGTTTTTGAAATTTTAATAACTTTCTTAAACTATCCTGGATTTCTACCAAACTTGGACAGAAGCTTGTTTATGATCATAAGATAGTATCCAGAAGTAAATTTTGTAAAAATAAAATTCCATTTTTTCCGTATTTTACTTTTAAATGGACTTAGATTTTCTGCCAGGAAACAACACATTCACTCTGTGGTTAAAGTTTTTAAAATTTTAATAACTTTCTTATACTATTTTGGATTTGTACCAAACTTGGACAGAAGCTTGTTTATGATCAAAAGCTAGTATCTAGAAGGAAATTTTGTAAAAAAATAAATCCATTTTTTCTGTATTTTACTTTTAAATGGACTTAGATTTTCTGCCAGGAAACAACATATTCACTCTGTGGTTAAAGTTTTTAAAATTTTAATAACTTTCTTATACTATTTTGGATTTGTACCAAACTTGGACAGAAGCTTGTTTATGATCAAATGCTAGTATCTAGAAGGAAATTTTGTTTTCTTCCAGTTAACATTACATTCAGTCTGCAGTTAAAGTTTTTAAACATTTATTAGATTCATAAACTATCCTGGAATTTTACCAAACTTGGACAGAAGCTTCTTACAACCAAAAGATAGTATCAAGAGGAATATTTTTATTGATTTACTTCCTCATTTTTGTTGAGCCTGCGATTAACAGAAAAAGTAGGCGAGACACTGGGTTCCGCGGAACCCTTACGAATTTTTAATTTCAAAGCTTCTCTTTCTGCCACTGATTTTAAGAAAATCATTTGTCATGCATGAGTTATTTCCCCTAATCATTTAATCTTTGTAAAAATTATCTTAAATCATCTTCACTAGCGAAGGGTTACGATCCAGTCACCTCCTCTCCAACCTTGGCAAATTAAGACAGCATTTGTGATCACAGTGCTGTGCCATCTATCAGTAGATAAAAGTCACGCCCATTAAGACTGCATCATTCTTGACCAATGACAGCATGTAAAAATGGTTGTGTCTAGTGTTTACAAATTTCGTGAAGCAGGAACCGAAAATATACGTTCACATTCCAACTTTTACGTGAGAAACATACCTGGGACATTCAATTAGTTGATTACGATCTTTAAAATTGTCACTAAATATCGTCCTAGGTTTTTGGGGTAAAGACTTGTTGCACAATCAGCACGTGGCAATTGTTTATTTACATTTTCTACATTTACATGTGATCATCTTAAAGCAGTTTTTTTATTGGAAGCAGCCAGTTACAACTGCGAGCAATGGAAATCATTACTTCGTGGATCCTAAATTCTATCTTAATCCGCCAAGGGTGGAGAGGAGGGGACTGGATCGTAACCCTGGGCTAGCGAAGGGGATCTGAGATGTGAAAGACGGAAGTTGGAAAAAACTAAACCAGTGAATTTTATCAGAAGAAATTGAAAGGCATGAGAAAATAATACATTTGTTAAGGGGAAATTTTAAATTTTTATAGAGAAAAGATAAATTTAGATATTGTTTGTCAATACAAACTATCCATCATTATCTGAATAAATATTCTGTCTTATCAAGCAGTCCTTAACTAAATCATTGTTAGAAATTATATTTTCAAAATGTCGGATATTACAATAGGGGATGCAACTCTCACAAAGGAAAAAAGTGTTGCCTGATATACATTGAGTTATATGATTGAAAACATGGAAATATTATTGTAAACCGATCAAACCTTTTATATATAAGTTTTAAAAAATATACTTATTTTCATCAGGTAATAAATTTTGTATGTATATGGCTTTAACACACTATTTTCTTACTTTGTGATAATTATTTGTTATATTATTATTTGTTGTTGTAGCAGTTTTATTTTTTTCAAATTATTTTAATAAAGAGATACATATATTTCATTTGTTTACTTACATACTGATAAGGTCCTCTGAATTTTTTAGGCATTCAAAATCTTCATGTTCATAGTGAAAACAAAGGTTAAACTTCAGTTAACCTTGAAAATGACATCTTTTGATAAATAATAAATGAATTTTATAGAGGATAAATATACATATTATTTCCTTAATCCAAATTTAACATCAAGATAAAAGCAACTGCCTTAATATGACTATGTTTATTGGTTCCTTTCAATATCCGAACTTTTTAAGAGATCAACTATAAAACGGTTAAATATGAAGCAATTTCGTATAAAATGATAAAATTTTCAAAACTAAATCTTTTATACCTGTGTGTCTATGAAAATAAGATGATGTGGGATGGGGTATTGCTCCCAAAACACATTCGCACCCTACATGTTCACCCCTGGGTTCATTCGCACCCTATTTTTATTGTTGTAGTAGCAATATCATTGTAAATAGTTTGATAGCTGTTTGGTATCTTCCACCTTTCTTTTACAGATCTTTACATGTCTTTAGAGATGAATGACTATATTCATAATTCATTTCGTCAAAACAATTCACAACATCAAAACCGGTGTACTTTTTAGCTCACCATGGCCCGAAGGGCCCCATGTGAGCTTATGCCATCACTTGGCGTCCTCCGTCTTCGTCGTAAACTATTTCAAAAATCTTCTCCTCTGAAACTACTGGGCCAAATACCTTCAAACTTTAACTAAATGTTCCTTAGGGTATCTAGTTTATAAATTGTATCCGAAGTTTTGATCCATCGACAAACATGGCCGCCATGGCTGAAAATAGAACATAGGGGTCAAATGCAGTTTTTGGCTTATATCTCAAAAACTAAAGCTTTTAGAGCAAATCTGACATGGGGTAAAATTGTTCAATTGGTCAAGATCTATAAGCTCTGAAATTTTCAGATGAATTGAACAACCCATTGTTGGGTTGCTGCCACAGAATTGGTAGTTTTAACAAAATTTTGCAGTTTTTTGTTGTTATTTTGAATGTTATTATAGATATATATAAACTGTAAGCAGCAATAATGTTCAGCAAAGTAAGATCTACAAAAATGTTAATATGACCATAATTGTCAATTGACCCCTAAAGGAGTTATTGCCCTTTAAAGACAATTTTACAGAATTTGTTCAAGTTTGCTAACATTTAAAAATCTTCTCCTCTGAAATACAGGTGAGCGATTCAGGCTCTTGAGAGCCTCTTGTTTATAAAGTCACTTTATTTTTAAATAAACTAATTATCTTTATTTTTTAGCAATACACGAACTAAAGCATGATTAAAAATTTATTCAAAACATAACCTTTAAACAGGGTGCCAACAGACTCAGGGTGCGAACATGAATGGGAGCGAAAGTGATTTTGGGCGAACTGACCTGGATTCATTGCCAATGAGACAACTCTTCACAAGAGACCAAATGACACAGATATTAACAACTAAAACCTGTCTTGTTTACCGGTTTTATGGACCCGTTTTTGGTGCTGTCTTTTTTTGCAGTTTACAAAAAGGGGGTATACTAAGATTTAAATAAAGCTGTTGTAGCCTTGGACAGAAGTTATTTTTAGCGGAAGGAACAGATAATTCTTTCAGCTTATTCAATCATCTGTCTCATTAAATATTTATTTGACCTTTTTACCTTCACAATAAAGAATGTCTAACAATTACTGACTGCCACACCCTTCAATCAGACTTGCATATATTGGAAAAAAGGGAGCAAGAATGGTTTTAAATGTCATTTAACTCAGACAAATGTGAAATCATCCACATAACAGGAAAGCTAAAAACAATCATCTTTAAATACAAACTACATGAGCATATATTCAAATCAACTGACATAGCTTAAAATCTTGGCGTTACCATTACCATTACAAACGATCCGACATGGAACTCACATATAAATAACATCACAAATAAAGCAAATGCATCATTAAGATTTATTAAAAGAAATGTAAAAACCAACAGCATAAAAACAAAAGAACTTGCTTACAAAACATATGTCAGACCAAAAATAGAATATTGTAGTGTTGTCTGGGACCCCTGGCAGAAAAAAACAAATACATAAAATTGAAATGATCCAGAGAAGAGCTGCCAGGTATACACTTAATCAGTACAGCTACTAAAGTAGTGTAACAGCCATGCTTTAACATCTGAGCTGGACGACACTACAACAAAGAAGAAATCTTGCATCATTCACCATGCTGTACAAAATTCAACATCAATTAGTATCCATCTCAAACAAGCAATACTTAGTACCATCAAAAGAACATAAATTTGTACAGCCATTCTCTCCCACAAATTACCATTTATATTCATTTTTTCTTAGAACAATAAGGTTATAGAATTCAATACCATACCAAGTAGCCAGTAGCCCAGATTTAGAAGCATTTAAGTCTGGTGCAAAATTACATATATATTGCTAGATCAAAATCATGTTTTTATCTATATACATGTACAAAAGTTTAAAAAAAATGTTTTGAAATTTATTGTAAATATGTTCAGATTTTGAAACTTTTTCCCTAGTATGTGCCTTCTTGTAATCTTCAACGTATTGAAGTTAAGAAGTATTATGTAGATAGATAGATAGAAAATTCTCCCGAAAACCAACATTACCTTTCACAAAAGATAATAGAAGACGACGTCCAATATTTCATCTATTTATATTTCATATGAGAAGATTGCATGAGAGATGTGTCATGCGTACATGTATAAAAGCAACGAACCTGGATGGAAAAAAACAAACTAGAGGTAACATAATAGAATAAGTAGAATGAAATAATTGTCATAGTCAACCTGGGAGACATAATATATTGACCCAGAGTCAACCAAATGCTACAGGCAAGTCCTGTATCAAGACTTACATTTTTAGATACGAAAAATCAACTGTATACAAATTTCATTATTAAGTTTATTTTTCAGCAGTGATTTTGGCAGTGGGTAAGAAAACATGTTTGATAAAATCTTAATACTGTTGACAGAGAGATATGAGGGTCGTAATGGGGGTTCTTTTTGACAAAAAAAAAAAACAATGATTTTGACGAATCATGCTTAATTCTTTCCAAAAATAACAGTAACGGATAATTATTTGAGATCTCTGATGAATCACAATTAAAGGGTATTTTGAAGAATCACGATAAAATTTTAACCAATTTGACGCAAACAGTAGCCGAAAATGAACGTTTGATGCCTGGCGGTAAAGGGCACTCCTACCCAGCAGTTTTCATTTCAGTAAAATTCACTGTGACCATGAAACATGAAAAATAAATGCAGTGAAGTTCTAATTGTTGAAATTTTAAGTCCAAAACCCGACACATAAAATAACCTGATATATATAGTATAAACTTACAAGCTGGCAAACATCTGATACGTTAAGGACACAGGTTGGCAAAAATCTGAAACATCAAGGATACAGGCTGGCAAACATCTGATGGGTTAAGGATACAGGTTTGCAAACATCTGAAACATTAAAGATACAGGCTGGCATACATATGATACATTAAGGATTATACAGACTGGCATAAATCTGATACATGAAGGATACAGGCTAATATGCATCTGATAGGTTAAGGATACAGATTGGCAAACTTCTGAAACATTAAAGATATAGGCTGGCATACATACATGTATGATAATATAGTAAGGATACAGGCTGGCATACATCTGATATAGTAAGGATACAGGCTGGCATACATCTGATATAGTAAGGATATATGCTGTCATACATCTGATTAAGTAAGGATACAGGCTGGCATACATCTGATATAGTAAGGATACAGACTGGAATACTTCCGAGTCATTAAAGATGTAGGCTGGCATATAATTTGGTTCAAGTACACAAGATGAACGTCTAAAATGAAAAGAACAGGTTTGAATTATGAGTTTGCACTGTTTTTGTGGTAGAATCATGCAAAATGTTTATATCCAGTTGAATTAAAGGTAAGATATCTGTACGAGTAATTTCCATTAAAAAATTTAAAACATTTGGGAAAACATAGTGAAGTACTAGTATACTAAATTTTAGTTGTCTCATGCTTTAAACTTTTAAATTGAATGATTGGGCAAAACACAGTTATTTTGTATTTAAATATAACACTGATTCAGATTCAGAATAAAAAATCCAGTGAATTTACATAGAGTTTACCAAATAATTTTTTTCAAGATTTACAGTTCTACAACTCTATATTATATATTACTGTGATAATGTAAATCTGTATACAACATTTACAAGCCATAAAACTGGATCCATCATATAATAAACAAAATACTGTATATCAAGAAATCTTTTAGTATCTAATTTTTGCTATTTCACAGTAGGCATTGAACTTTGCACTATTTTTTCGCAAACATTTTTCTTCATTAAAATACACTGTATAAGACCATGAAACATTAAAAATAAAAATAAATGTAGTGAAGATTTTACTGTCAAATTTAAGGTCCAAACCAAGAACAAAACCTGAAGTTAAAAAAAACCTGATATATAGTGTAAACTTACAGAATCTCAACCTTTATAAGAATCTTTGGCTTCCATTGGCTCTTTACAAGCACATCAGAAAACTATCAATTTATCAACTTTTGTCAATTAAAATAAAATTTACCAGAAATTGAGAGTAAAAACAACCATAAGATCAGCAATTCAGCATAGCATTCAAGTTATATACTGTGCTAAATGCATGCTATTGGTTGTGGTAGGGTGGTGCTGCTTTGTTAATCCATGCCATGCTCGCGCTTTCTTGTGTTTTGCCAATCAAAGGTTACAATTCATTTTGCTTTGAAACAGATTGTAAACACTGACAAGCAAATCTGTGCAATGCTGAACTTTCTAACATTATGGTGTTTTGCACTTAAATCATAGATTTTAACTTTGAAATGAACTTTCAAAACCCATTTAAGCATGTTATTAATTTTGTTTGAATTTCCTGCACCTACTTAAAGGTTGAGAGTACAATTGCAATATCATCGTCCAGTAACAAATGAAAAAGAAATTTTGAA